TCCCCGAGTATGGCTCCTTGCAGGGAGGCATCCCCTGGTGGAAATCCCATCTCCATCATGCCTGAAGGACACCTGCCTCACTTGGTGTGGTCACTTGGCCAGCTGGACCCAGATTCCCCAAACTCTAGGCAACCCTTCTGCTTGGTGGCTCAGCTAAGGCCTGGTTGGCATGTCACTGCACCAAGAGTGGTCATTGAGGGCTAATGTAGCATCTGAAGGTCTCTGGGGTATGACCAGCCTCCCCAGCCTTGCCCCAGGCCTTTGGGGATGGAGGGAGAGGAGAAGAGCTCCGGAGTGATGGTGTGTGCTTCCCAGGGTCCAGGACTGTGGCATGTGTGGAGCAAAATAGGATTGACTTGATTCCAGCAGAACAAGTTTGCTGGCAGGTGCCCAGAGGTCTCTGCATTTCCTGGAGCCCTGGGCAAAGCTTGAGAAGGGGCTTTGGGGTGATTTCCGCAGAGGCAGCCTTGGCTGCAGGCCAACCCTATCTGTCCACTCGGGTGTGTGTGTTGGGCCAGGAGCTGATGACTTGGGTGAGGGTTGGTAGCAGCCGCAGCTTCTGATGGCATCATTGTGGACTCCCAGCAGCACTGCCAGCACCAGCATGGCGGGGCCACACTGGGGAACTGACCTGGTGAGGCCACCACATCTCCTGACACAGCTGGTGGCAGAGCAGGAGCACAAGTTGTCCCCATGGAACACTGGCTTAGCTGTTCTTTAAGATGGCCCTAGCCAGGCACCTGTAATCCTAGCTACTCAGGAGGATCAAAGCCAGCCTAGGTAAATAGTTTGCAAGATCCTATCTTGGAAATACTCAACATGAAAAAGGGCTGGTGGAGTGGCCTAAGTGGTGGCGCGCCTGCCTAGCAAGCCCTGAGTTCAAACTCCAGTACCACAAAAAAGAAAAAGGAGGAAATAAAAAAGATGGCTCTGCCAGCTTTCCCAGCCAGACGGCCCTGCTCCAGGGTCCCCATGCACTGTTCCTGAGGGGACAGCAGAGTGGGTTTGCCCTGCACTAAGAATATAGCCCCTGAATGAACAGGTTCCTTCCCAGCTCTCAGGGAGCACAGAGGGAGCAGCCTCCATGTTCCTCTTAGCCCTTGCTGGGTGCTTGCTCTGCTTGGGTGGCTTAGGCCCCTTTGTGCCTATTAGGGGAGTGTTCCTGCTGGAGTTGCAGTCTGAACTGCCCATGGGACTGTAGGACCCTGTCCTGTGAGTGTCTCAGGGTTGCATACTGCCTGTGTGGGCAATGTGGTGTGGTCCTGGGGTGTGGGCCTAAGACAGGTACACCAGGGGAGCACAGCTTCTGGACTTGTCTGTAGGTAGACAGTTCCTGCAGACCTAACTGTGTGGCCAGCCCCTCAGCAAGCACAGTGGACGACCTCACCACTGGGTCAGGAGGCCAGGTTGGGAAGCAGGAATCTGCAGCTCCAAGCCTCCAGGACTCTTGCTTTGCCAAGGTCTGAAAAAGGCTCTGGAGCCCTGGTTGTATTCCTTTCTTGTGGCTGCTGGTGCAAATAACCCTATGCACAGTGGCTTAACATACACAGTCCTGTTGCCTGACAGTTCTGGAGGTCAGAGTCCAAAATAGGCTAAAATCTAGGTGTGTAGAGGGCTGGCTCCCTCTGTTTCTTGCCCTTTCAGTGTGGGGAGGCCGCCCACATTCCTGGGCTTGTGGCCCCTCCTCCCTCTTCAAAGCCAGCAGCACAGCGTCTTCAGGTGTCTGACCTCTGCTCCATCCTCAGGTCTGCTCTTCTGACTCTGACCCTCCTGCCTCCCTCTTACAAGGTTTCCTTCACTTAATGTCATCTGCAAAGTCTCTCTTGCCATGTAATGCTCTAGGAATGAGGACATGATGTCTTTGGGATGTTCAGCTGATCACACTGTCCTTAAAGACTGCTGAGCTCATGTGTCCTCAGGTCTCTGCCAAAGCTGTGGTCATGGGTTCAGCATCTCCGAGGTCCTTGGAGCTGTTTGAGAACAGCTCTGTTCTGCCACCATGTAGCTCACCTTGGGATGGGGCAGACAGGATTTAGGTGATCTGGTCCTGCCCTACTTTAAGCATTTCTGTAAGGGATTCTCTCAATTCCAAGAACTCTCAGAGCTGAAGGGGACCACAGCAGGATGTTGTGTGGGCAATAAACAGGCTTCTGTTGCCTGGAGGAAAGAGGAAGCCCCAAACCCTTCAGCCTTGAACTGATTCTCTGTGTCTGGATACTGACACTGGCCCACAGCAAACAGTGGGTGCCGTGAGCTATGGGAATGCTTCAGTGCTCCCCACCTGCACCCCCACCACTGCAGCCCTCCGATCTCCAGACAGCAGCTTCAGGGGTAGGAAGGGCTTGGGGTTGGGGCTGGGGTCAGTGTGTGTGAAGGGTGCCATGAGGGACTGTGCTTCCTGCCTGGTGGACCTGGCTCTTTGTACATTAGGAGGGGACTTAGGTCAGGGCCAGTTGAAGTAGGCTGTGCTCCAGGGCTTAGTTCCTGCAGCAGGAGGATATAGGAGAGCCAGCAGCCACGTGGAGGTGTGTGTGAGTAGGGAGCAGGCCACGCCTGGGAATGGAAGGCCAGCAGGGGGGCCCTGCTGACTGGCAGGGCTGCCCCATGCCCTTCCCTTTGGCTTCTTTGTGGCCAGGAGGGCTCCTGGGCTGGCTCTGAGGCTCCAGAGAGTTGCGATATTGAGAGTGTGCTGACTGACTATCTTGGGGAGGGCTGCTGTCTCCCCAGCCAGACCTCAGAGAGCATCTCGGAGTCCATGGCCCCTGGGGGCCCAGAGTCTCCTCAGCATCTTCCATAGGGGTCAAGAGTGAGGCTCAGGCTGACCACAGACTCTCCAGATGAGAGCTGGATTTTATAGGACAAGGTGGCTCTTAATAAGCACCTGCTGTATGCCCTGGCAGTGCTGTGTGTAGTCGGTACACTATCACCTCAGGGATCTGAGCTTGGGGTGGGTGCTGCCCCATAGGGACCTGGTCTTGAGATTGCATACCACACCCTGGGTCCTCTGTCTCTCAGAGCCCCTTTGGGGCCCTGTAGGGGTCATCGGTCCTTTGTTTTGGGACCCTCATATGATATTGACTTCCTGCTATGGTGCAGGGGCTCACGGCCTGATTTGCTACCTCCTTTATGAGACAGCATCAGAGTTTAGCAGGGTCCCGGGGGGTCTTTGCAGAGTGGACGTGGCCTGCATATGGAGCAGACAGCTCTAGAAGTCCCAGACCTGCTGGGTTTGTTCTGTGTCACTTTTGGATGACCAGGCACATTCTGAGAGTGTTGCATGGAGGCAGAGCGTCTGTGTACTGGAAGTGTGGCCTGCTGAGCAGGCCTGGCCTGGAGGACTGCAAGAAAAGCTTCACTCTGGTTCCACCTTTGGCCTTTAGTACCCTTCAAAAATGTGCTGAGATGGCTGGGTTTGGGGAAGGGAGTTGGGGCAGATGGGAGGGAGAAGGTGCAGAAGGCCCTGTGGGTTATAGCTGATAGTGGGGACCTGCTGGCTTGTGGAGAATAGGAATTAGAATCAGCTGTGCGCAGCCCTGGGCATGAATATTCCCACTAATCAAGTTCCTACATCATCAAGGACTGTCATATTTTCTCCCAGTGTAGTCATGATAAGAGGAAGCTGTGGCATTGAGACATGTCTGTGGTTAGGGCTTCTGTGACTGCCCTGTCCAGGGGGCCCAGGCACTCAGCGTGAAGCTACTATGCAGAGCATTACGTGTCTTTCTCAGCTGTCTGTCCTAATCTTCTGATCTGGGACACTGGCGCCTGTCAGTGGGGTTGGTGGATAAAGGTGTCACCTGGCCTTAGTGGCAGTCATGGACTCTAGTACCTGTTTCTGATGCTCCAAGGTGGCCCCTAGTTCTGTCTTTGCCCAAGTGGTGGCCTCCACCTGTTTCTTAGTGCCTCCTGTCCAGTTGAGTCTGTCTCATCGCAGCCTCTGCCAGGAGAGGGCTGCTCCACTGTCCTCAGGATGTCACTGATCCTTCAAAGCCCCCACCATGTCTGGTGGCCCCAGGCTTGGAGGAGGGCTGTCCTGGTGGGGACCATCAGGTTCTCTAGACAGCAGTGGAGAGGTACAGCACTTATGTGGTAGTGTTTAGTGGCTAGCAGGGGCCGACCAAGAGCCACACTCAGGTGTCCCAGGAAGCCCACTTCCTGTGCTCTGTTCTATGTCTCTGTTTTTGTCTGACCTTCCTGAAGCCCAGTTTAGCAGAGTGGGCTTGGAGGGCAGGGGAGAACCCAGGGCCTCCGAGCTGCTGCACTCCTGAGATTCCCTGCTGCACTACTGCAGAGGGGAGAGGGGGCCTGGGGCATAGTGCCCAGGACCTCCAGTTCATATTCTACTTCCCTACGCATTTCCCTTGTGGCCTGAGCCATGGTGCTGGGGCTGAGGAGCAGGTGAACGGGCACAGCAGGGCCTCTCCGAGCAGCCATGGCCCTGGGCTTCCCCTGGCCTATGTCAACCTGCTCCACTATGGATAGCAGAAACCCTACCCATTAGCCCCCTGGCCAGGAAGTCAAGGCCACCCTCCTCTTTACCTCCCCTTCCTGCCTCCCTGTCCCCTATACCTTGGGCAGTTCAATGGAACTCTGCAAACAGTGCTTCAAGTCCATCTGCCCTGTAGGCAGCACTCTGCTGGCAATTTGCAGGGGCAGAGTGGAGGTCACGGGGCCAGCACAGCCCAGGGGTACCTTGTTCTGGGGAGGAGGCAGTGCTGCCTTTCCTGCCTGGCAAAGATGCCGTAGGTGGTAGATATGGCTTTGAGCAGATAGATACATGCTTAGCCTTGAGGTGCTGGGGGCCAGGCCTCTCCCTACTCCAGCCTGCTCCCCTCTGCTGTTCCCACATTCTGGCTGACCCTGAGGTGGCAGCTTGCTGGTGCATGCCTACCTTGGGGGAGGACAGGCCCTGCCTTTGTCTGCTCTGGCTTTGGGAGCATGACCTGGGGCTGGAGAGTGTTGTAAGTGTGGTTTGAATAGGAGGTCTTGGATCCCAGCCCCATCAGCTCAGCAAGGTTGGCCTGGCCTTGGTGGCTGCCCTCTGGTAACTCCATGCCCTTCTGCCCAGATGTGGATGAGTGTCGTGTGCACAATGGTGGTTGCCAGCACAGGTGTGTGAACACCCCCGGCTCCTACCTCTGTGAGTGCAAGCCTGGATTCCGGCTCCACACGGATGGCAGAACCTGCCTGGGTAAGTGTCATCTTACCCCTGCCTGGGGCCCAGGTCTGGGAAAGGGGCTCCGTTCCTGCACTCATGGGTTGAGGCCTAACCAGGCTGGCAGTGACCTCAGTGGCCTCAGTCAGCCTCATATGACTCCCCCCTGCCAAGAGTGGCCGCCATGGAATTCTGGCTGCGCCCTGCTGCTGGGCACTGCGCTCCAGCAACAGGTAAGAAGGCCACGACTCTTGTCAGGTGGAAGAGCTTGTCTTGAATTGCCCAGGTCCTTGTGACCAAGGCTGCACTCTCTCTCTGAAACTGCACTGAGTCTGGCTGAGGTTGTCTACAGTGGTTGGGCAGCAGGGCCCATGCTACCTCTGTTGTCTCCAAGACTCAGAGACACTCCAGACACTCTTGGTGGGGGGGAGGAGGAAGGTAGTGTAAGGCCATTCTTAGCCTGCAAAGCTGGTGTTCTGTGGGAGCCTGGAGGTGTGGGCAGTGGCAAGAAGTAAGGCCCTGGCCCTCTGGCTCCTCTGTCAGGTCTCTACAATGAGGAATTGGCTCTATGGCTACCTGGGTACATAGCCTGAGCCTCCACCAGTTTGGGAGGGCTAAATGGAGGTTCAGGGTCAGGCCAAGGAGGGGTGGCAGCCCAGCATGCTGATGAAGAGCAGTCAGCAACCACCCCCTGGCTCTGAACAGAGGGGCCCTGGGGATAGGGCTGACCCTTCCCTCCAGACTCTGTTGTTCTTTGAGAGGCTGAGTGGAATGCCTCTTCTTTCCATTCTGGAGACCAGAGTGGGCCCAGGCTGGCTCTTGGCAGCCTCCATCCTGGTCTTGGCTGCTATATGGCTGGCAGCTTGCCAGCTCTGGGGCGCTGGGGAGTGGGGGGGGCATACCCTGCACACACATGTCCCGGCCGCTGTTCCGCTTTGGGAGCCAGGCAGCTGCCCAGGGTGGGAAATAAAAGCAGATGTGAGAATGTTGTGATGTGCTTCAGGGCAGCTAAGGTGGGGGAGCCCAGCCGGCTGCTTGCTGGGGTTTTCAGGATCCTGTGGCCGGGGCTCTTTGGCCTTGGGACCCTGGAAGAGGTGACTTGGGGCAAGGCATGTCCTTCCCTCATCCTTCCTTTCAGGCAGGGTGCTCTGTGAAGCAGGGTGACATAGAGGCTGGTAGACGGATATCTCCTGCTGCTGGCTGGCTCCCTGTTGTCCCCAGGGCTGGGATACTAACTCCTTTGTCTTTATCTTCACCATTTGTGCTGCTGGTGGCCCCGAAAGGATCAAGGACTTGGTTGGGCTGAGCCATTAATGTGCACAGCCCGGCAGCCCTTAGGGCTAGGGCTAGCAGTAGCCCTGTTCCCAGGCTGCCTTGGGTAACACCTAGACCCTTTTCCCAGTGTTCCCTTGGGTATATGGTCCATGCTCACCTCCATGTGGCCTCTCATTCTGCAGACCATGCATTAGGGCTGGAATGACCAGTGGTGGCTGCTCAGAGGAGCCTTGAGCTGCTGACCCCTCAGCCTTGCTCAGGTCCTCCTGCCCACCCTACCCCTTGCAGTGCTAGAGCCTGACCTGCTAGAATCCTTCATACGCAGGGCCCTGGAAGTCTGCATGTTTGTCAGGGGCTCATTGTAAGACATACTTGCAGGTCAGATGCCAGACTCCTGGGTGTTTTCTGCCAAGCTGGCATGGGGCCACTGAGAGCCCCCCAGCCCAGTCCCTCTGGTTGTCTCTCAACACTCTGTGCTTGTTTGAATGGGTGGGCTCTCTGGGGCTTCCACCGCCTTCTTGAGTGCTGGTGACCACCTCCTGTCCCTCCCACCTGAGAACCCAGCTGGGACTCACTAGACTTTGGCTTGACTCACAGCAATGACCTCAGACTGCCTCTCTTTCAACTATACCTCCCAGCAAGGAATTTACTCAGAAGCTTCTCAAAATAGCAGCCTCCCACTGTGCTGTGTCCAAGGAAGATAGAATGGTGATCTGTCTCACTGCTAAGAGATGCCGATGGATACTCACACTTGATCCCCTAGTCACTGTGGCTCTCCCCGTGGTCTCTGGTGGAGTCCAGCTGGGGAAATACCTTCATCTTCCTATACATCCCTGGTGGTGGCCTGGGGACATGTGAGCAATAGTGGCCCCTGCCTAGGTACCACCTAGGTCCATTTCCCAGTGCTCTCTGGGGCATTTGGTTCCTGCTTGGCCCCTGTCTGTGGGGACCTGTCTGTAGACTATAAATCTGGTTTTTGTGTATCTGGAATTCCTAGGCATGTCTGGGATTGTGTGGGTTTGTCACATGGTCCACCATGAGGTGCCTTCCCTGTGGGGGCCTGAGGTTTCCAGAGTGGACATAGGATCTTCTGGGGACTTTTTGGGGAGGAATTTCAGCCAGTGGTACCCTTCTACCCCCACCCCAAGCTTTGTCCTGTTGCCGAGGGACATGCCTGGCCACAGTTGGGTGGAGGTTGCAGAGCACCTGTGGTTGTGGTGGGCAGGAGGTCTCCTGCCATTGCTTGTCTTAAGCCCAGTGCAGGGGTGCTGCCAAGGCCATGCCAGGCTGCTTAGATGCTTCGAGAACTTTCGGGGATGCCTGGGAGGATACTTGCCCACCCACAGCCCTCCCTTCCCAGAGCACAGGGTGTAGGGCGGGGTCTGCAGCCTCTCTCCATCACAGTGGCACCCTCTGTGCCAGGAACGCAGTGGATTTTCCACAGATGTGTGTGGGTAGAATTTATGGAGCCATGGGCAGGCTACATGGCTTCTGCCCAACTGGTGCCCAGTTGCTGCAGGCCCTCTCCCTCCAGCGTGCTCTGCTGGAGGTACCCAGAGCTCCGCTGAGCCTTGCAGGCAGCCAGGGAGCACACCTGCACTTGCAGGCTTAGGCTTTGAAGTCTTGGACTCTCCGCTCCCACCAGCAGCTTGGAGTGAGGATTAGAGAGGCTAGGGATAGAGAAGGCGCTAGAGGGGATATGACAGTCCTTTAGCAGTAGGGCTGGGAGTCTTCAGAATGGTGTCACATCAAGGGTCCTGGGGATCTGGGAAGACCTCAGAGGAGGAGGCAGTGCTAGAGGGGAGCCTTAAAACTCACTTAAACTCACCTCCAAGGCAGGGAGGGAGAGAACAAGAAACACATAAACTGTACACATCCCTCCTTTCTAAGTGATCTTTCAGAAATAAAACACAGAAAGGTTTCCACTTCCATTCTTAAAAATACAAAGTTATAAAAAGGACTGCCATCAGCCCAACACAGTGAGTGCCTTGTCCTCCTGCTCCGGCCACCACCCCAAGGGAAGCGCCAGAACCCTGGGATGCTACATTGATCAGGGTGTCTTCATAGGGTGTCCCACTCCCATATTTGGGGTGAGGAACGGGACAGGGAGGCCTGAGGGCTGCTGTAGCTTCCCACCCACTGACCAAGCCAGTCCCTTCTTTCCCCAGCAATGGAAAATGGGGCCTGCCAGGGCAGTGGTTTGGCTGGTGGTCTAGGACTGTCATTCCTGCTTTTCCATGACATCTCGCAGAGCGCTACAGTGCAAAAACAGTCCCTAGGTCCTTTAACACTTTGTGCACCTCCATATAGCTGGGGTACCCTGAGTCAGTATGAACCTGCTTGGTGGTCCTCGGTCTGACCTTCTGGACTTGGACCTTGGACATGAATGTTTCCTCATGTCCCCTGGGTGAAGTGACACGTAGGGCCCACAGCTGTCACTGGCTCACCCTGCAGAGGCCCCTCCAGGTACGATGCCCTGGGCTGATTCCATGGCTGAGGTAGCTCCCTGTCTTCAGCCTCAAGCCTGTAGGCCTCAGGATGGATGCTCTTGGGGAGGACTGTGCTGTTAGCATACACATTTCTGGTGGCCTGGCTGCCCCTGCCATCTGCCCCTGCCAGCCCCAGAGTTAGATGGTTCCTTGTGGGTACATGTGTGCATAGCTGGAGGAAGGTGGCTCAGGGCAGACCCTTTCTTCCCTAGGTCTGGGTCAGTCTGTGAGGACTTGAGTAGCTGCACAGGTCCCCAGCCTGCCCCCTCAGCTTCTTGTTGGAGGGGAGGCCCTGGGGGAGGCTGCTTAGGCCTGGGAGGCTGCTGCTGGCAGTGGGCTGGGGCCAAAACCACAGGCAGCTAAAATGTGCAGACTGCCAGGCTCATCTGCAAAACTCATCCTGTGAAACTGCAGATGCAGCTTTGCCTGTGTTTCCCAGTCCCTCCAAAGCCCGAGAGGGGCTGCAGTTGCACAGGGGGTCAGCTCCCAGGTTTGGGTCCAATGAGGCCTGGCCTGAGCCAAGCTGATGGGAGAGGTAGGAAGGGCAGCAGCTGATGTGGTCAGCCCCTCCACTGTCTTCTGAGCCCACTCTGGGCTCCGTGCAAGGGAAAAGCCTGCCTCTGCCTCAGTTTTGGTGAGTCCCAGACCCCAAAGATGCAGGCTGGGGCAGAGCAGATGTGCTTGGGAATGGGGCACGGGATAGTCTCATCCTAATCCAGAGAGACCAAGGACACTAGCCACAGAGCCTGGGTCTGGTGCAGAACCCAGTGAGAAAGGCTGGGGCATCTGAGCTAGGCATGCCAGGAAATGATACACTATGGGGGTTAGTGGGTGAGCAAAATGAGCTCAAGGCGGGCATGGGGTTTGGGGGTTAGAGGAACAGGGCAGAGGAACCAGGGCTTGCACCTTTGAACCGGCCAGCAGCAGCTCTTACAGGTCCTGGGCACTGCTTGTACAGTAGGGTCCAGTCCTACCAAATGGACACCACCTGCCCTCTGGAACTTGGTGTTTGATAGGTGGGACTGACCAACAATCTAGACAACAAACCAGGCACTTTCTTAAATGCTGTGGAGAAAGAAAAGCTGGCAATGCTCACAGGGCCTCCTGTGGGTCAAGGACACAAGTTAGAATGGAGACTTGGTAACAAGAAGGCAATGGGGGTGGTGCAAGGCTGGCCTCCCTCACTGTACCTTTTGAAGCCCGGCTCTGCTGCTCATGGCTGTCCAGGCACTTGGGGCTCTTTGAAAACTGACTGGGTCCCACTAGCCTTGGTCTCCTTGTCACCTGTCACTTGGTCTGTCTGCACCACTGCAACCCAGCTTGGGTTGAGACAGTGCCCCCTCCCCCCGCCCCACACACACCAGAAAGGAGGATGCTGGGGCAGGATGGTATCAAGCATAGCCTGGGTCTGTGGAGAGAGTGGGAGTGGGCACTTACGCCTTTGCCGATGCCCACCTGCCCGAGCCTTCCTGAAGGGACTATTCACCTGGCTCTTCCTGTCTTGAGAGGCTGGTTGGCATTGGTGCTGGCTCAGACATACACCCCACAGCTTGTGTTCACACTGGCTGCAAGTGTGGTCAGTGGCCCCTGAGTAGCTGAGACCCTTTTCAGCGGCTGGGATAAGGGCAGGATTCCAAGGCAGGGAGCAGTGGGCAGACACAGTAGCTGCCTGTGGGGGAGCTGGGACAAATCTCCCTTCCAGCCTGCCATCCTGATCCTGCCCCTGGCAGAGGGCTTCCTGGAAGGGAGTGCTGTGGTGGCCATTGGCCATACAATAGTGGCCACTGACTACATGGGGTAGGAGCTCTCGAGACCCAGAAACCACACCAACCTGAGGGCAGTGATTACAAAACCTCAGGATACCAGCAGGGAATGGATCCACTCTTGAGCCAGCCCCTGCACCAACCACTGAGCTGGGCTGGAGGTTTCATCAGAGGTGAGCTTGGCTCAGATCAGATAGATTGGCCTCCCACCCTTCGCCCTGTGGCAGATGAGCTCATGGTGGCCTGGAGGCCATGGCCTTGCCAGCAGAGTCCTCCAAGGTCCCCGTGGATGACCCCCATCTGCTGTCCCCTCCATGGCTCTTGGCTATACCACTGCCGGGCACTGGAGCCCCGGCATAGGTGCTATCTCCTGCCCTTTTATTGGGAACACCACACATCCAGAGTGCAGACTGGCTGGCTCAGGTAGGACAGGACCTCAGCCCTATAGGAGGCGTATTTTCTGTAATACCCAGGTTCCTATTCCACAAAGCCCCCATTCCCACAGAGCTCGTGTCATGTACTCCTGAGTGGTGGTAACTCCTGCTGGAAGTGGGTAGAGTTTTTCTTTAAGAAACTACCACTTCCGTATTACAGAAGTAAAAGAGAGCAGACTGGCCCAGACTGCCTGGAAGTTGTGATCCCCCTGCCTCAGCCTCCCTAGGGTTAGAATCACAGGCATGCACTGCTTTACCTGGTCATGGAACCAGTGAACATGTGCTGACTACAGGGGAGGCAGGGAGGACCCCCACACACACTTGGAGGCCATCCCTGATCCCCAACTTCTGATGGAACTTCTCAGCTTTGCTCCAGGTTCTGGTTTACAGAACTGAACCAGACAAGAGCCTTTGGCCATAGCCCAGGCAGGGACCCTGGGGTGTGTATCCCCCAGCGAGGGGCCCAGAGATGTCTCCACCAGTTCTGAAGCCCAGTATCACAGAGGCTGGCCCTTCCTGGAGCTGCACATCCCAGCACCAGAGAAAATCTGCCTTTCTCAGCTTTCTGGAAATCCATGCAGTATATACGGGGTGGTGCTGACCCGGCTCCCTGCAGTGTGCAGCTTGGGAGCATCTGGGATGTCACAATTCTGTGGAGCAGGGGACCAGAGGATAGGCTTCCAGGGTGTGAAGCTGTCAGGGACCCCAGACCCCTCTTCTGCTGTATAATGGGCTCATCCCCTGGAGGCTTTGCCCGTTGGTGGGTGAAAGGCAGTGCCTTTCCTTCCTGCCTTGCCACAGCCCCTCTGGGTCCCGTTGTCTGTGGTGCCTGCCCAGCCTGCTCCCCTGCCCAGGCCCTGTGCCCTTCTGTGCCTGCCTGGCTCTGCCAGAAAGGACTTCTGGTTCCTATTACGTGTCCCAAGCAGAGATGCAGTTGGTGTGGTGAACACAAATAAACAGAACCCCCAGGAACGGGGGGCCAGCTTGGGCTGCACGTGCCCAGGATCCTCTGAAGGGAGGGCTGGTAGCTGAACAGCCGGTGCTGGCTCAGGTGAGGCCAGAGGTGGGGTCAGCAGAGCTCCTATCTGATCTGGGAGTCAGGGCAGAGTTGGGGAGACACTTGGGCTGACAGGCTTGCCTCAGTTTCCCCTGAGGTACACAGCTCTTCCTCCTTTCCACATACCAATCCTGGGCAATGAGGAAACTGGTCAACCCCCATGGCTGACTTTGCCCTGAGGGTATGAGGACCCTGAGTGCATGCTCCCCACTGAAGCACCCCACGTGAGGAGACGGGGCAGTTTTGTAAGGGAGAGCTGTGGTTTTTAAACAAGTTTGCTTTGAAAGAAGCCTTGCCTTTGGCTGACAGTGCGCCTGGCATCCTTGGAGCCCTGAGGCAGCTCATGTGCTCTACACTGCTGCCAGCGCCCTAGCCTCAGAGTGCTTGCACCTCTATGGTGCTGAACCCCCAAGCCCATATGCAACAATACGCCATCTCCCCAAACTCGTGCCAGGCCACTGTCTTCCCAGAATAGCAGCGTCCCCTCACCCCAGCCAGCATCTTGGGGTGAGGCCCAGTCCCCAAAGTGCTTTAGTAATGGAGCTCAGGTCTGTTCTGGCCTACGCAGCTTTGGGCACAGGCCTGTGGGCAGACGGCCGCACCCCGCCAGCCTGGGCAGCAGTGCATGCTTGTGGCTTCCCTCCTGGGTTTGGGGCCAACTTCTTCTAACCACAAGGCGATTGCCAGAGACCTGATTGTAACCAAATCCATGCTGGCTGGAGGAGGAGCTGGCTGCTGCTTCTGGTAAGGGCGTAGTGCCCACCCTGAGTGCCTTGCCTGACCCCTTACCCACCGCCCCACTGCCCCCCGCCCCCCGCCGCCTCCTGGACCAGCTGAGGGCACAGCCACAGTGCATCCATGGGATACACAGGCACCCGCTGGACCAACGTGTCCCATAGAGCCTGTGCTCTGCAGGGGGTCAAGACTCTAGGTTATGACCTCTAGTCTGGTCCCTCGGCCACTGAGAAGAGTGGGAACTGTGTGGTCAGGTATGAAGTATGGTCCAGTCTGGGGTGGGAAGAAGATACTCTGGTCCCTTGGGAGTTGGTGACTAGGTTTGTAGGCCACAGTGTCTATCCACGGCAGCTCTACACATGTCCTTCTGCCCTAGTCTGAGACCAAGATGGTGGGCTGGTCTCTGCCACCTCCCTCCAGCTGCTCAGGTGCCAAGTCCTCATTCTTGGGCTTCTCAGAGGCCCCTGGCGTTTTGTGTTCTATGCTGGGGTGGAGGGTGCTAGACTTCTGTTGAGGTGGGACAGTCTGCCTGGTGTCTCTGTGTCCAGGTCTCAAGCAGGCTGGGACTGGAGGATTCAGAGAGACAGCCACCATTCTGAGGACTCTATAGGTGGCTGCGAAAGCAGTCAGGCCCATGAGCCAGAGCAGCCAGGGACTAAAGTCCTGCATAGGGACAGGTGGAGGGCAGAGGGTTGGAAGCATCTGGAGAGACTCCTGCAGGAGGTGGCCCTGTGCCTGTTCTCGCTTGCCTGGGAAGGAGACTTCTGGCCAGCCATCCTCTTAGGCTGAGCCAGGCTCCTTTCTGTGTCCCCAGCCATCAGCTCCTGCTCCCTGGGCAATGGTGGCTGCCAGCACCAGTGTGTCCAGCTCACAGTGACACGGCACCACTGCCAGTGCCGGCCTGAGTTCCATCTGCAAGAGGACGGCAGGCGCTGTGTCCGTGAGTGTTGCTAGCCCATAGAGGGGGAAAGCAGGGTGGGACCCCACAGATCCCTTGCCCTTCATAGACCTGTCTTAATCCTGAAGCCTGAGCCCGAGGCTGAGCAGAGGCCCCATGTGACAGGACTTGGTGGCTGGGGCTGGAATTGGGTATGGGGAGAGAAGCCTGGGACTGCTGACAGCCTGGGGCACAGGGCTGGCGGGGAGTGCTCTGGGATCACACATCCTTGGGCAGGAAGCTGAGAATGGAGACAGTCACAGTTCCCTAGATGCCCACTGGGGCCAGCACTTGGGCAGAGGAGCAACCAGGCCCCACTGGCATGATTCTCTGGGACTTCTGACTGCCTGTGTGGGAGAAGGGGCTCTGCTGATGGAGAGGGTGAAGAAGGATCAGAGTCCCTGAGATGTGGAAATAGGGCAGGACAAGTGCTAAGACCTTACTCCCTCCACCTGACCCCTCAGCCTCCCCAGTAGGGCAGGCAGGAAGTGAGTTTGGGCATAATGGTCAGAAGCAGCCATGGGGGTGGAATGGCAGAGGATCACGGGCTGGGGGTCACAGGGCCGAAGAGTCATGGGGTTGGGGTTGCAGGGCTGGAGAGGTTATGGTGTTGGTCTTAGCTGTAGCAGCCAGCCCTGTGGAGAGGTCTCTGGGGGGTGCACTCCAGGCCTTCTGCCGGAGCAGTTCTGGGCTGGCTACCTCCCTGCTGAAGGCCCTTGTCTAGCTGGACCTTGCTTCCTGTGCTGTGGGATTTGCTGGGAACCCTGACACCTCTGAACCATGGGCATTAGCGAAGCACTGGCTTCTGTGTTCCAGTGGACCCTCAAGAGTGTCTGGAATTGTGTTGGGGCCATGGAGTCTTTTTGAGGTTCTCTGGGGTTTCCCACACCTGGGAAGGAGACCACTGCCCAGACTGGAGCAGAGATTCAAACACTGGGAGGGCCTCGTGAAGGCCCTGGGACAGCTGTCCCTCTCCTACTCACCCTAATCGCTGCTTTTTGCCCTCATTCCTCTGGGTCTGACCACAGGGAGAAGTCCATGTGCAGAGAGGAATGGTGATTGCATGCACACGTGCCAGGTGCTCCGGGGCCTCGCCCACTGTGGGTGCCACACGGGCTACCAGCTTGCCGCGGACCGCAAGGCCTGTGAGGGTAGGACACCCCACCCATGCTGTGCCTGCCCCAGGGCCTCTGCAGCACCCTGCTGGACTGGTCTGTGGAAGCAAGGCTAGCCCATCTTGCCAACTCCAGGTGACCTGGGGTGACGCTATCCTATCTCCCTGATGGTGGTTGAAGGACACCCAAGAATCCGTGTCCAACTGAGTTGTTTTTCAGCAGGAATAAGGAGAGCACTCAGGGTTTTGTTTTGTTTTATCTTTGCAATGCTGGAGATCAAACCCAGGGCCTGGCACGTGCGAGGCAAGCACTGTGCCACTGAGCCACACTCCCAGCCCTTTGGGATTTTAAAATTTCATTTAGAAAATACTTCCCATAATGCTTGCTCATTAGGAAACAGAAGAAGAGTGTGCCAGGAGAAAGAGGTCCCCCTGACAGGGCCCAGCAAAGCATCACAGTGTAGTAACTCTGCTGTTTTTCTGGGTTGCTTTGTTAAACAGAGACCACAACTGAGCTCTGTTTTCTAGACACCTTCCTAGGTCCTGCTGGCTGTTCCCACTATGACTGTGTGGTATTTCTGGGCATGTGGGTGTTCTCGACTCTTCCTGGCAGTGAGCAGCCTTGGCGGGGGGGTGGGGGGTCTGTCCTTGGCTCAGTGACCCTAGGGTGAGTTTGGCACATGGAGGATGTCTAGAAAAGCAGTCAGTGGTCATTTTCCAAGGCACCATGCCAAATGGTCAGGTGCCAGCAGGGAAGGGAAGGCCAGTGCTTCACAACCTTAAGAGTGCGAGCAGTTGTCCTGGTGTGACAGGTGGGTCCTTTGGGCATAGGTGGCTGCGGCAGGATCAGACACTACAAGCTCAGCACAAGGAATCCGCTGGCGCGACTGTAATAGGCTGTCGGGACACCAGGATTCAGTTTCAACTGCCTTCTGTGCCATGCGGCCACAAACCCAGAAGCCATCATGTGCTTCCTCCCACTGTGGGGTGTGAGTGGAAAGGCACCTCTCGGACCCCTGAGTCCTTCCTCTTGGTCTCTCCTTTCCAGATGTGGATGAATGTGCCACAGGGCTGGCTCAGTGTGCCCATGGCTGCCTCAACACTCAGGGATCCTTTAAGTGTGTGTGCCACGCTGGCTATGAGCTGGGTGCCGATGGGCGACAGTGCTACCGTGAGTGGGCAATGCACAGAGCCCCAACACCATTCCCCAGGACCCCAGAGGCATCACTTTGGCTGAGCTTCCGTGTCGATCAGGGACAGCCCTGGGGTATGGGTCTCCAGTGTTTGGGCAGGGGCTGCTAGACCTTGTCCTCCATCCCAGCTGGCTGGTCTCATCACAGGGATTGAGATGGAGATCGTGAACAGCTGTGAGGCCAACAATGGAGGCTGCTCACATGGCTGCAGTCACACCAGCACGGGGCCCCTGTGCACCTGCCCCCGAGGCTATGAGTTGGATGAGGACCAGAAGACCTGCATTGGTGTGAGCCGGTTCCTTCCGGGCTGCCCATCCTGAGCCAGGGATTGGCCTGATGCCATGACTCAACTTGGAAGTCCCTCTGTCTCCCCCAGGCCTGCTCTGTCTTCCTGGGGCAGGTGGGGTGGGACAGGCCTGGCAAGAGGCAGCATTACAAACTGGGAAGGACCCTGGGTGCTCTATTGGCCTGCACCCTGTGGCCCTATCTGTGGCCCTTGTGTCCCATGTGTGACTGTGTGCGTGCAACTGTCGAGATGTGTGAGTGAGGGTGTATGCCGTGGGGTGTAGATGATTGCGTGCAGGTGTGTGTAGTTGGGCATGGTGTTGTGTGTGGAATGTGCATGCAGGTTGTACATCTGTGGCTTATTTATGTGGTCCTGGTGCCAGCGAGCTCCTGCATGTGCCTTGTAGACATTGATGACTGTACAGACTCCCCGTGCTGCCAGCAGGTATGTGCTAACACCCCCGGTGGGTACGAGTGCAGCTGCTATGCTGGCTACCGACTCAGCACCGATGGCTGTAGCTGTGAGGGTGAGTACCTGCTGGTGGTGGCAGCTGAGTGGCCAGAGGAAGAACACTGGGGTCAGGCCTGGCCTTCCTGTGGTGGGTGTGGGTCAGCCTGTCTTATACCCTGCCTCTGGACATTGATTAATTGCCTGCTGTATGTAGGGCTGTGATGACCTGCCACCTTCCTCCCTCTGGCCTGTGGTCACTGACCATTCTCACAGGGTTGGGCCCACACTTCTGGCTGCTCCCTGAGTGGCTCTCCCTGGGGTGGGCAGGTGACCACTGTTGCTGCACCTTTGGGGTGGGAGGATGGCTGGAGAGGTTGCTGTGGTTGTGGAGTGGCATTTCCAGCTGTTTAGGGAGACGAGCTGCCCAGCTCTGTCCAGTGCTAGGGTAGACAAGGCCCCCAAGTTCCTGACCTCAAGAGCCCTGTTTGCCCACAGATGTAGACGAATGCACCTCTGGCCATGGCGGCTGTGAGCATCACTGCTCCAACCTTGCTGGCTCCTTCCAGTGCTTCTGCGAGGCTGGCTACCGGCTGGATGAGGACCGTAGAAGCTGTACCCGTGAGCCTCCCTTTCTGGGGCACCCTTTGCCTTCTGGGTCTGCTGGCAGTAGCCCCCACACCCCACATGCTGGCTGACCTCGCATCCTCACCTTTCTGGGTATTTGTGGGCCCTGCATGGTTCTACCTCCTGCTATGAGGGGGCAGCAGGGTGGGAGGAAGAGGGCTGGTCAGATAGCATATCCCCCAGGACCAAGTGTTACATGGGGGCTCCTGGTGGCTCCAGCTTCTGCTGAGGTGAGACAAGAACTGGGACCTAAGACCATGTTGTCCTTGGGGAGGGCAGGTGGGTGGTCAGGGCTAAGGGGTTTGTGTGGTCTTCCCAGCACTGGAGGAGCCCGTGGTAGACCTGGACGGCCAGCTGCCCTTTGTACGGCCCCTGCCCCACATCGCCGTGCTGCGGGATGAGCTGCCCCAGCTCTTCCAAGATGACTATGGGACTGAGGAGGAAGAAGCAGAGTTGCGTGGAGAACATACGCTCACGGAGAAGTTTGGTGAGGGTGGGCTTCTCCCTGGGCTGCTGTCCTCCCTGCAGGCTTGGGTGAGGGAGGAGCCTTGAGGTCACCTAAAGAGGTTGATCTCACTCCCAGGTTGCACAGCTTGTCTGGGGCTAGACTAGGCCAGCCACCAAGTTTTGGCCCTTCCTGGCCTCAGCTTCTGCTCCCATACTGCACCTCATTTTCTTGGGGCCTCAGGGATAGGGTGTCCCTTGCACCGTCTTCCCTGCCTGAGGGGCCTTAAGGCTGGGGTCAGGCTCTGATGCCCCTCTCTCCATCTGTCCTCAGTCTGCCTAGGTGATTCCTTTGGCCATGACTGCAGCCTGACCTGTGATGACTGCAGGAATGGAGGGACCTGTGTCCCAGGCTTGGATGGCTGCGACTGCCCAGAGGGCTGGACCGGACTCACCTGCAATGAGAGTGAGGCTGCCAGGCGGGGCCGATGCAGGGCAAGGGGGCCAGTGAGCCCCAGGATCTGCAGGCAGCCATTCCGGCCATCCCAGCCCTGTCTGGGCAGGGGAGTTTGAGTGGACCTCTCCCTTTGTTAAGTGTCCACTAACTGTCCACCTTGTGCCAGGCATGGTGGAATCTGCTGGTATGGTTGTAGTCAGCTGGGATACGTAGATGGGTTCCATGGGGAACCAGCAAGCTAGGGTGCTTGACAGTCTGGATGAGTCTCCAGGGATCCAGCAACAAGCAAGCCAATAAGTAACTCAGACAGCAGAGGTGTCTATAAAGGGAGCTGGTGGGAGGAGCTCCTCTATCATGGGCAGTCAGGACTGCCCTGCAGGCTCCTCATGGAGCAGGGATCTGCCCAGGACTACACAGCAAATTCACAGCTGAAGCACTTTGGAAACTGCTGTCTGTCCAGGGCCTTTTCCACCTTTTCCCAATGCCCAGACTGGGAGTGGCATTGGAGGTCAGAGCTCCTCTTCAGGGTTGGTGACTGTCTGGAAGGGGCTTCTTCAGGGAGATCAGTGTGTGTGTTGGCGATGGAGCAGTTGATTAGTGATGTCTGCCAGGAGTGTGCCTGGGGGCCGTGGGACACAAGTGTCATGTTTGCTGCTCTAAGTGGTTACTTCTGATCAGAGTGCCTCTAACCCTGGGAGGAGTCTCAGTGTTGGTGGTGAGGACTTGGCCCAGAGCTCTGCTGGCTGGTGACCTGGTGCTTTCTTTGTCACCCCAATGTAGCTTGCCCTCCAGACACCTTTGGAAAGAACTGCAGCTCCCCCTGCAGCTGTCAGAACGGAGGGACCTGTGACCCGGTGACAGGGGCCTGCCGCTGCCCCCCGGGTGTCAGTGGAGGCCACTGTGAGGATGGTGCGTGTGGCTCCTTGGATCCTCTGGAGTTGTCCTTTTGGGGAAAGGGGGAGGAAGGCACATTCCCCACTGGATCTCCTCCTAGGCTCCTCCCATCCACGGGAGTCAGAAAGCAATGTGACACTGCTCTGACCCCTGTCTTCCAGCCTTCAGGGCTTACAGCTGTGCCCAGGAGGAGGAACAAGGCCTTTGTAGTGGGACAGGTGTTAAGTTTTCATCTTTGCTAATTTCCTGGGGTCTAACCGTAGATGGTGGTCACTTGATCGACACCATGTTTGAGCAGACTTCCTAGGAAGGTGATGGGCCTCCTGTTCCTGGAAGCATTCAAGTGCAGCTGGGTGATGGCTGGCTGGGATTTGTGGAAGGGATCTGCCTATGCTGGTGGCCGCATGGGGTTCTGCTGGGGTCCTGTCTAACCGCAGTTACACCATTCTGGAAGACTTAAGAGTCCATGTACCTAAGTTTCCCAGGGACCATGTTACATCTTTGGGTCTTTAGACCTTTGCCATTCTGCCCCTGTGGCTGGAGAACAACTCGTGCATTGTAAACCCTGAGGAGGATGCAGGAACCTGTCCTGGTGTCCCAGGGTGGCCAGTGCCCCAGGTAGCCTTGTGAGCTTGCCACTGTGTGCTGAACACCACAGGACTTCTTGTCCTGCGCACAGCAGTGTGCCGGGCAGCTACGCAGGCTTTCCACCTCGTCCCTGTGGTCAGCTGTTCACATGGGCTTCAGCGTTGTAGGAGTGACAGGCTCTGGGTGGTCTGAGGGGCACCTGGCAGGTAAAGGATCTGAGTTTTATTGCTGCTTTACCACATCTGCGTGGCTTCCCAAAGAATGGTCTCTGAGATGGTCCCTTGTGGGAGGGCTACCAGATCCCCAGTAGGCAGAATGTACCTGAGCAGTGAGCTGAAGGAGGTGAGTCCCAGGAGAGGCCCAAAGATGGGTTTTCAGGGGCAGAGACCTCATAGGACCTGTGTGTCCCTTAGCTGTGATACCTCATTCCAGTCTCTACTGTGACTTCACATGATTGAGCCTCCCCTGCCTTCCCCTCTTTCTGTCTCAAATTCCACCTGCCTGTCTGATAAGGACTTTTTTTTTTTTTTAATGGTACTGGGGTTTAAACTCAGGGCCTCATGCTTGCTGGACACAAGTGCTCTACCATGGCTCTGTGCCTTTAGCCTTTTTCAAGTTGGGTATTTTTGAGATAGAATCTTGCTTTGTGCCTGGGCTGTCCTGTACTGCAATCTTCCTGTTTGTGCCTCCCTGCATAACTGGGATGACAGGTGCATGTGCCATCTGTTAAGATGGGGTCTCTTGAACTTTTTGTCCAGGCTGGCATCAAATGCGATCTTCCCAATCTCTGCTGCTAGAGTAGCTAGGATAACAGGCTTGAGCCACTATGTCTGGTCCTGATAAGGACTTTCGTCATTGGATAGGGTCCACCTGGGCAATATAGAATGGTGACATCCTGGGAGCAGGACATGTATATAGAGCTTTCGGGGGGTTCACTTTCAACCTACTATATCTCTATCAGTAGGAGGAAGGACCTAAGGAAGGGAGGAGCCACAGGGAAGCATTTTGGGAAAGAAAGCTCTAGCCATGGGCTTGGCTATGGACCTGGCCTGGTAGGGCCATGAGTTCTTCCTGCTCTGAGCTTGGAGGTCAGGCTTGGTCAGGATGCTATAGGTGTGGGAGTCACTGGGGAGACTGGACAAGAGCCCTGTGTGTCTCTCAAGTCTGTGCCAAGCAGCATGCTTGGCAACCCACCCTTGCAACAGACCCTGGGTGGGGACTGGCCAGCTGGTCTCATCAGGAGATTCAGCTAACAGCCCCTGCTCCTGTCTTCCATACTGGGCACTAGAACCCTGAGCATCTCCTTGGTTTGGGGACACATGTGAGCACCCACCCTCTCTCCAGGGTTCTCACAGAGCCCCCTCCCCTCAGGCTGCCCCAAGGGTTTCTACGGTAAACACTGTCGCAAGAAATGCCACTGTGCCAACCGGGGCCGGTGCCACCGCCTCTATGGGGCCTGCCTTTGCGACCCAGGGCTCTATGGACGCTTCTGCCACCTTGGTGAGTCCTGCTGATCTGCTAGTGTGTGACCTGACCACAGGGGACCATCAGTGCTCCAAACTAAGACTCACATCGTGCCCGCAGCACCATGGAATCCCCTGGGCCTCACTGTCTGTAGTTGGGTTAGGATGAGGTCACCAGCTAGTGCTTAGGCGCTAGCTCTGGTCTGTGACCTCAAGGCCACATCCTTTCTACTGTGACTTGTGCTGGCTTCCAGGGTATCTGGGTGAGATGTCCCCAGCCTTTCTGGCCCTGATCTGCGGAGGTGGGTAGGCATCAGGCAAAAGTGGAGGCAGGCCTCTTCAGGAAGCTCTTTGGGGAGACAAGGCTCATCTTGGCTTTTGAGCAAGGCCTGGTCAAGTCCTGATCCCCTGGGCCATCATCATCTCTGGGGTCCACAGACAGGGAAGGGAGAGAGTGATGCATTGGCAAAGCAAAGGTGCATCCAGAGAGCTTTTCATGTCATTTGTAAAAGGATTATTCTGAGAGGAGAAAGCTGGGACTAGCAAGAGGCAGGTCAGTTTCCTTAACTTCTTAGGCTCTGGTTCTCAGCTGTAAAGGAGGCACAGTCTCCCCTGGGTATGAGACAAGGTGCCTAGATTCCCAGAATGTGCTGGAAGGGGGTCTCATCACCGTCACCCTTGCTAATCCAGGGCCTGGAGGGGTGGGTGCTGCAGTCAGGCAGGCTCCTCATGGCTCTGTGGGTGCAGCCTGCCCGCCCTGGGCCTTCGGGCCAGGATGCTCTGAAGACTGCCGCTGTGAGCAATCCCACACCCAGTCCTGTGACCCGAGGGATGGCAGCTGCTCCTGCAAGGCTGGCTTCTGGGGCGAGCGGTGCCAGGCAGGTGAGTCAGGTATGGGGAGGGGGATTCCAGGGCCAGCAGTGCTGGGCAGGTGAGACAGGTGTTAGGGAGGGGGAGATCCCAGGGCTGCTCACACCCCTGTCACTCTCTCATCCTGCAGAGTGTGAGCCGGGCTTCTTTGGGCCAGGCTGCCGGCACAAGTGCACCTGTCCAACAGGCGTGGCCTGTGACCCTGTGAGTGGCGAATGCTGGAAGCAGTGTCCCGCTGGTTACCAGGGAGAGGACTGTGGCCAAGGTGAGGTGCAGGGACCAGGCCCCTGGGTGTCCCAGTGGTTGTGGTTATTTGTGACTCAGAAGGCTGCATAGCTGGAGGTTGGTGGCCCCCATGCCTGGGCCCAGGTGGGACCTTTCCTTGCTGTCATCATGCAATGACAGTGTGCTGGTTGCCTGTGTTTTAGAGGTTGCCCAGGGCAGGAGCTATGTGTCCAGGTCAGTGCCTCTCCAAAATCACTCACTCCGCTCTACTGGAATGTACCAAGAGCACTGTGCACTGGAGCCCACTGGAGGGAGCAGGAGGGAGGCAGGTGCCCTGGGAGTGACTTGGCGGGAGGCTGGGACTGGAGGTGCAGAGGAGGTGAACACAGAGGCCTCACCAGGTGGATCTTGTGGCCTGGGGGTGTGTGTGAATGGGCACAGGGCCTGGGTACTCTACCTTATGTGGTAGGTGGAAGAGGAGGCCATAAGGAGCTGGCTGGAAAATAGACCAGTGACATTGGTCCCTAAAGCAGGGCCAGGAAACTGGGTGCCCTGGTAACTCACACTCTGACCTGTTGGTAGCCCAGCGTGCATGGGGCTTGGGGATTCTCTGAGAGGGCCAGGAAGGGAAGGCTGAGTGCTATGGATGCTACCAGCCTGGAGGAAGTGGCCTGTGTTCCTCAGTCTCCACTGTCTGGGGTATTATGGCCAGGTACCATGGACCCTGCCAGAGTGAACAGCTGAGCCTGTGTGAAACAGAGTGGCAGGAAGGACACTGAAGTCTTTGCCTCTGAGCCTTATGGCTGGCAGAGGAGACACCAAGTGTGGTCATGTGCCCCCAAGGAAGGGGAGACACTCAAGTGTGGCTGTGGGCCCCTGGAGGAGGGGAAGTCCCTCTCCCGGATTATATAACAGGGCTGCTTTGGTAGACGGCGACAGGTTTGGGAAGCTTGGAGCTTCCCCTGGCACTGTGCCTGCTGTCTGAACTCATTGGTCTGAATGTCTGGGAGCTGAAGAGGGACTAGCATGTACAGTACAACTGTGGTCAGGGCTGAAGGGGGGCAGCAGGAGCCTTGCGCCCTTCCTCTCCATGCCTCTGTCTGAGGAATAAGGCAGAGAGGACCCAGCCTGTGCAGAAGCCCACAGAGGAGCAATGTCAGCCAAGCACTGTAAGCCAGTGTCTTGAGCCATACTGGCCATAGCAGCCAATGGTCTGAGCACCCTGGGCCAGGACCCAACCTGAGGCTTGGTGTCTTTAGGCCACGTGCCTCCATAGAAGATGTGCACTAAAAGTCTCAGGTTCTGTTGGTACAGGGAGAACACGTGTGGGGTTTGGATCCCAGATCTGACCTGATCTCTCAGGAATCTGTGGTCTCAGGTCACGCTCAGAGGCTCTGAGTGCCTGATTTCCCATCTGGACAAGTGTCACAGGAGCTCAATGAGTTATGCAGATAGGACTTGTTTTGCCTCCTGACATCCCTCACCCAAAACACACGCACACACACACACACACACACACACACACACGCATGCGCACGCACACACATGCTTGCATGTGAGCACATATAGGCAAACATGCACAGTTGTAGGTCACCTCCTCCAAGCTAGGGACCCAACCCTCCCCTCCAGACCCCCTATGTGTGTGCTGGGGCCCAGTGAGGACAACTGTCCAGAAAAGCCTCCTTTCCACCAGTCTTGGAGCCGACCCATGTGCTAAGAGAAGGAAGCCTCCTTTTTCCTTTCTGTGTTAGTTTAAAGCCTTCAGTGCCCCAGGGGTGGACCATGGGAAATGATGCATACTTTTATAGAAATGGTGACTCCCTGCTTGCTATTAGTTCTGGAAAATATTACAGTCCCAAGCATGTGTCTTGTGCCCAGTTAGTGGGGAGGACCACTGTGGTCCAGTGGGACTGCTTCATCAGCAATGCTGGGCACTTCCCTGGTTCACATGTGTGCTGCATCTGGCACCTGCTGCATGCATGAGTGTTGTGCCTGATCCCGGAGAGTGGCCTTGCACCTGCTACACACCTGTGTGCTGGACCTGCAGTGTTTTGTCCAGCAGTAGGTGGGCATCAGGGCAGCCACACTGTGCTGGGCAGGCGGGAAGCCTTCTCGCCTCCCCCCCCCCCCCCCCCCCGTCCCAAAAGCTCTGTCATTCTGGGGCAGGGAGGCTGGGCTTGGATCCTGAGGGCAGGGCAGGTGTGGACAGGTAGGTGGGCTCTGGCAAGGGAGGCTGCAAGGGGCTTCATAGCACCTACAGCTCTGGTAGGTCATGGGAGTGGCCACTGCAGGTCTTGTCGGGGGTGAAGTCTTCCTGAGGCCGTGTTGCAGATTGGAGCATCAGGCCACTCCTGCCAGGATGCCCTGAATCCTGGGCTGCTTCGTTCTTTGCTCTCACTGAGTTGTAGAGTGACGGGTACCCCAGGCTTCCAGGGCCCTCATTCTCTTGTGTATAGAACAGTATGGCTCCTTCCCATCCCCCGTGCTACCATCAAAGGGCCACAACTCTAGGTCATGTGGTGGATGCCAGTTGGGGCTGAGTTAGGGGGAGGGGGTCCTACTGGGAGGGGAAGGGGAGAGACTGGACTGGTGTGCCCTGGTTGACCTGACATGAGAGATCCCCTGGGTGGACAGCTGTGGGGCAGGAAGAGGAGCAAGGTTGCTTACCGCTCCTGGGAGCTCTCCAGGGTCCTGGATGTCCATAGCTTCTGCCTGACAGGCTGCCTTGCCCTCTGGTGGCCCCCACCCCTGCCTCTTCTTCTCAGTGTCCCAGAAACTAACCTTCCCTGTCCCCTGCCTGTTTCTGTGACCTCTCCTGGTCTTCCTGGGCCTCTGGTTGTATTCAGCTGACCCTGCTGGAGCTGGAGCAGGTGCCTGAGCAGGGGGGAGTACAGCTGCCAGGAACCCCAGAGGGAGGGCTTCTGGGCTGGGCAGCCCCACAGAGGTCGGACAGGTAGTGTGAGGTAGGCTTTGCCGAGGGAGGCTGTTCAAGGGCTTCCAGCACCCAGGTCTTCGTCCTCTCCCACTTCCTTCTGCAGAGTGCCCCTCAGGGACATTTGGTGTGAACTGTTCAGGTTCCTGCACCTGTGCGGGGGCTCCCTGCCACCGGGTCACAGGGCAGTGCATATGCCCAGCAGGGAGGACTGGGGAGGACTGTGGAGCAGGTGAGTGGCAGCAGCACCCCTCATCCCTGGACTACAGGACTTCTAGATGGGGCCTGCTCTGGTCTGTGCTAGAGGATCCCAGCCTGGACCACATCTGGGGACCTTGGACTTAGCCCTGCAGGTTCCTCTGCAACAGCTTTGAGAACTCGTGCTTGACTAAGCCTGAGTATAAGATATGGCTCTGCATTTGCCCAGCCAAGCACCTGGGCCTGCAGTGGGACTTCCTAGGCTGCCTGTTTACTGCTTGGGGGTCTTCTAGCCCCTCTTGCAGGCTCCTTGTTTTGCTTGATGAGCTATTCCCGGGACTGGGGCTTCTATTCTGTGCCCAGCTACCTCTGGAAGTACCTGGGGGTTCTGATGACCCTGATCTGTCCCTCTCCTGGGCAGTCTTAGATGGGAGCAGTGATTCCCCTCTTGAGCCATGGCATAAGCGGCCTTCAGTGCTGTCCCAAGCAGACCATTTATGACATTCCTAGCCAGGACAGTGGGGGAGATTGACAGGCCCTAGGGGTGTTAGATTGTCCCGAGGGCCGCTGGGGACTTGGCTGCCAGGAGATCTGCCCTGCGTGTGAGCATGGTGCCAGCTGTGACCCTAAGACTGGAACCTGCCTGTGCCTCCCTGGCTTTGTTGGCAGCCGCTGCCAGGACAGTAAGTGTGGCTTGTGCTCTGGCCTCAGCCTCAACCCGTGCCCCCTGGGTGGGTGTGCTGGGCGCCATGCTCACCCTCTCTCTGCTGCCTATAGCTTGCCCAGCAGGTTGGTTTGGGCCTGGCTGCCAGATGAGGTGCTCTTGTGCCAATGATGGGCACTGCCACCCAGCCACTGGACGCTGTAGCTGTGCCCCTGGGTGGACCGGCCTCAATTGCCAGAGAGGTATGGGAGCACCTTGCCCGTCCTTTGTCAAGTCATCCCTCCGATGCCCTGTTCTGAGATGCTCTGGGTCCTGACCTGGCTGTGGTACCAGTGGGCTCTCCTCCAGCCTACCCAGGATGACCTGGGCTCTGTTGCAGCCTGTGACAGTGGGCACTGGGGGCCCGACTGCATCCACCCCTGCAACTGCAGTGTGGATCATGGGAACTGTGATGCCACCAGCGGCCTGTGCCTGTGCGAGGCTGGCTACGTGGGCCCACGGTGCGACCAGAGTGAGTCCCAGCCCTGCTGACTACCCCATGCTGGTGTGCACACAGGGAGCATACGTGCACGCAAAACACACAATATGTGTGGACAGATGTACACGTGAACCTGTGTACGTGGATGTACACATGCACACGCACACATATGCATGCCACACATACCTGCCTTCCTGTCCCCACCTGAGCTTGCCCAGCGCTCACTCCCACGTGCCTGTGTCAGATATAAAGCACACCTGTCACAGCAAGTAGGGAGACACAGGGTCTGTCCACCGTAGGACACCTTTGGCGGGTAGGGGATGGGAGGAGTTAGCACTTAGGACAGGCATATGTGCTCCTTAAGGCTGGTAGGTGGTCCTGGGGCAGTCTGCATGAGATCCTAGACCCTGAAGATTTTGTCTGAGGCTTTTCCAAACCCCTCACCCCAGATGGAGGAGGCGTATGGGCGAACCTAGGTGTCCCCCACTGTGGGGAGGAAGAAGCTTTATTGTGATCTATGCCTGGGGCCCCAAGTCCTGGAGCCCTGGTCTGCTCTGGGCCCCCTGGCTAACATGGGCTGTGCCTGCATCTCAGGATGTCCCCAGGGCTACTTTGGGCCTGGCTGTGAGCAGCGGTGCCAGTGTGAGCATGGGGCAGCCTGTGACCATGTCAGTGGGGCCTGCACCTGCCCAGCTGGCTGGAGAGGAAGCTTCTGTGAGCGAGGTAAGCCAGACGCAGGCTGGGGGTGGACCTGAGGGACCTTGAGGGCAGGGCAGAGTGCCCCAGTCACCACCACCTCTGCCCACAGCCTGCCCAGCTGGCTTCTTCGGGTTGGACTGCCACAGAGCCTGCAACTGCTCAGCTGGGTCTGACTGTGACACTGTGAATGGCTCCTGTATCTGCCCGGCTGGCCGCTGGGGTCCCCGCTGCTCCCAGGGTGTGTGAAGCCCCCACGCAGTCAGGGTGTCACTGGAGGAGCATGGGACCTCCACAAGAGACTCTTCTGGGACCCCTTCCTGGGCACCCAAGACTGTTAGGCAGCCACCCTGAGAATGCAACTTTGTCCAAGTGTCTCTCTTTTGTGGCCACTCTGCTGAGAAGTGGCTCAGGCCAGAGGGATGGTAGGGTTGCCACCATCCCTGCTCTCCTGGAAGCTGTGCTTAGCTGCCTGAAATCTCCTGCCTCAGGCTCCTGATGGCCTCTCTGCCCTTTGCAGCCTGCCCACCCCTCACCTATGGACTTAACTGCAGCCAGGCCTGCACCTGCTTCAATGGGGCCTCCTGTAACCCAGTGCACGGTCAATGCCACTGTGCCCCTGGCTGGATGGGACCCACCTGCCTGCAGGGTAAGCCCTGCCAAGGAGCCTAGTGTTCTGGTCATGGCCTCTCACTGGGCCCATGTGGGACCATGTGGTTATGGAATGCTGGTTGTATCCCTGTGGTACCTGACCCTTAGGGGAGGGAGGGAGGAAGGCAGGGAACTGCTTAGGACTAAGGACTGTGACCTTCAGTGTTGTGACCCCCAAGGCTGGGTGGGTCCAGAGTGGGCCTGGAGTCAGTTATTTTTTTATTTTTATTTTTTTTTTATTCATATGTGAATACAGTGTTTGGGTCATTTCTCCCCCCCTCCCCCCACCTGGAGTCAGTTATTTTAGAGGCAGCCCTTGGCAAGATTCCCAACCCAAAAGTCTGAGCAATGGTGGGCTCTGGAGGGGTGCTGAAACCTGCAGAACCCTGAGGGGTTGTGCTTGCCAGATGCTGTAGGCTTCTCCTTCTCCCTGGTCCCTAGCCTGCCCTGCTGGCCTGTATGGCAGGGACTGCCAACACTCCTGCCTTTGCCAGAATGGAGGGAGCTGTGACCCTGTCTTGGGTCAGTGCATGTGCCCGGAAGGCTGGTCTGGCCTGGCCTGTGAGAATGGTGAGCTCCGTCAGTTGGCCGAGGTGGGGGGTGTGCCCACTCACTGTCCTAGGAGGACTCCCAGGCCAGGGGACAGCGTCCTGGGTAAGGCCTTGGAGCCTCTCCTTCCAAGGTTGGTTCCCAAGGACATGGGAACTGAGACTGTGGGTACAGGAAACTTGGGCCAGGGCCTCCTGGGTCGTACAGATGGAGCCCTGGACGTGGGATCCTTACTCTTTCCCACCCCTGCAGAGTGCCTTCCTGGACACTATGGAGCAGGCTGTCAGCTCAGCTGCAGCTGCCTCAATGGGGGCCTGTGTGACCGGCTTACAGGTCACTGCCTCTGCCCTGCCGGTTGGACTGGGGACAAGTGCCAGAGCTGTGAGTAGAGCCTGAGAGGCCCTGCTGGGCTGGTTCTCCCCAAGGTGGTCAGCTGCTAGGCGGGGACAGGGCCTGCTATCTGAGCACCCAAGGGTCCCCTGCAGGAGGCCAGCCTGATGAGGCTGTCTGCTTTGCACTGGAGCAGAATGGGGACATATTTGGCCCCTGCCCAACCCTTTGATGGGCATGGAACTATGATACCCTGGGGTGGGGGTGCAATTCCCATATCAAGACTGTAGAGAGGAACTCTTTGCCCCAGTCCTGAAGCTGATGGGGTCCCCATGATGCAGTATACCATCTGGGCTATGACCTCTGTGCCCAGGTGGCCTTGTCCACCCATCCAAGTCCCTTCAGAGCCTGGACAAGTGGGCACTGGCATGGACATCACCTGGTTCATCCTCCGTTCCAGCCTCCTACTTAGCAGCCCCCATTCCACCTAGACATTGTCACTTTCAGGGACAGCCCAAGCAGCCTCTTACTCTTCCCCAAGCCTGGGTCTGCTGGTGGTGGGAGCTGAGCTGGGGAGGCCTCCAACCAGGCCTGGACTCTTTATGTCTCCCTTCATCTCAGGGGCTGAGCCCTGGCTCCCAAGTACCCATGGGATGAAGGTCTGGGGACCACAGGGCTCAACCTTCCTGTCTGCCTTCTTTACTGTAGCCTGTATGGAAGGCACATTTGGGGCTCACTGTGAGGAACGCTGTACCTGCCGGCATGGAGCCACCTGCCACCACATCACAGGGGCCTGCCTTTGCCCCCCAGGATGGAGGGGCTCACGGTGTGAGGATGGTGAGCACAGCCCCCTCCACAGCCAGCTCCTGGGTCCAACTGCCCAGGTGGGAGGTGGGTCCTACACACAGTGACTGCTTTGGCCCAAGGGCTCCCCACTGTCCCCTTCCTGGGGACCTCCCCAGCCATGCTCTTCCCACAGCCTGTCCACGCGGTTGGTTTGGAGAGGCCTGTGCTCAGCGCTGCCACTGCCCACCTGGGGCCTCTTGCCACCACATCACTGGGGAATGTCACTGTCCACCTGGCTTCACTGGGCCTGGCTGCGAGCAGGGTAGGTGTTCCCCTCAACTTCCACCCTATGGAGAGGGTCAGCTGGGGGTACTTTTAGAGAGGCTTACTATCCCTGAGGCTGGGCTACATTGACTTCACCCTTCCTGCACCCAGCCTGCCGTCCTGGCACCTTTGGAGAAGACTGTAACCACCTGTGCCGGTGTCCTGGTGAGAACTGGGCCTGCCACCCTGTCACAGGGGCCTGCACCTGCGCTGCTGGCTATCATGGCACTGGCTGCCAGCAACGTGAGTGCTGCCTATGCCCACCTAAGGATCCTGGGGTTCTGCCTGTGATGCTGGGCCTCCTTTGAGGGGTGGAAAGTGGGATGTGGGGGCTTTGAGAGATCTGCCATGCCATGTTTAGGGGTGCTGGGGGTCAGTCTTCAGTTCCCCCTCCCCCTGCAGCACACCTCTTTCTGCAGAATGCCCGTCTGGACACTATGGACCAGGCTGTGCGCAGGTGTGTGGGTGTCTCAACGGGGGCTCCTGTGATGTGGCCACTGGGGCCTGCCACTGCCCCGCTGGATTCCTCGGAGCTGACTGCAGCCTCAGTAAGTGGCTAGGTGGCTTGTCTTTGCACCCTCAGGAAGCAGGCCCTGCCAGCCAGCCTTTGGGAGGACAGCCCCCTTCCCCTGCCTACCTCCCTGACTCTTCAGCCCCCTTCTGGCCAGGCCTAGCCCCAGGCTGAGCTAAGTGGGATGGTAAGAGAGGTCCTGCAGCACTGGGGGCATCTGCAATCCCAGTGTCCCTTCTACCCCAGCCTTTTTGGCCAGCCTGGCCCAGCTGTATTCTGTGGTCAGTCTGTCCCCAGCCATGTCTGCCAAGGGCTTGAGCTGAGTCATACAGAGGCCAGCCAGGCAGCTGTGGCCAAGTGTCTTGCTAAGGGCCTTTCTCCTGAGTCATGTGGGGACTTTCCCCGTCTGGGACCCAGACAGAGCTAGAGGAGGTGGCAGTGAGTCACTGCAGAGCCGGTGCTGGCCCCCTGCAGAGCCTGTGGATAGAGGGAGATTGGGGGCTGGGAGTTGGTGGCTTGACCCTGTTTGGGGGCAGACATATGGTTTTCCTACCCTTGTCTCAACCCTTCTCAGGGGTTGACATAGACAGGCAAGGAGGTTGCTCTATCAGGACCCATCTGTGAATGCTCTGCTGACCCAGCCCCTCCCTGACAGCCTGTCCACAGGGCCACTTTGGCCCCAACTGTGCCCATGTGTGCAAATGTGGGCATGGTGCAGCCTGCAACCCTGTGACTGGCACTTGTGTCTGCCCACCCGGGAGGATTGGCGTCCACTGTGAGCACAGTGAGTGTCTGCTGGGGCTTGGGGATGTAGTTACCTCACAGAGGTCACTCAGTCAGCCATGGGGGAAGCTGAGAGGGTGGACCCCTCACTGGGGATGTGCCATTCCCCAGGAAGTACATTTGTATCCACAGCCACCATGGGTTCGCCAAGACACCCAGGGGCTCAGAGGTGGTACCCTCTCTGTGTGGGCAGAGCTGCCCTGTTGAGTGAGTAGTTCATCCTACACCGCCTCAGGCCCTGCCTCCACCACCTGGGCCCCTGGGGCTCAGTCTACACGGTGGCCTGTCCATGGCTGTGTGGCCAGTGAGGTCCACAGGCTCTGATCTACTGATCCTTTAGACCCGGGTCAGGCCGTCATCTCCTGTCTGCAGATGGAACCCACCTTCTAGTGATGTCCCCTTGGCAGGCTGTCCTGACCTCTGTGCCAGTCCCAGGCCTAGGGTCCCTTGGCAGAGGGAGGCCGGCAAGCAGGTCTTGGTGTGAAATGGTTGGATGCCTAGGACAGTGTGATAGCTCCTGCTCATGACAGCATATCTGTCCCAGGCCACATCCACAGCCCTGTGGCCTGGCCCCTCCCTTAGTCCTCTTTGAGGGGCTGTGTCCCCATCGTAAGTTCTCAGCCTGGGGCCTCCCAGGAACTTGTGCAGCCAAGGGTTAGAAACCTAGGGCCTGGCTCCAGTCAGGGTGCAGCCTGGCCCTGCCTCACTTCCTGAACACAACCGTGGGTCAGGCAGTGGGCCTCAGGTTATAAACAGAAGGATCACAGAGAAGCTACCTCCGAGTCCATGGCCAGCCAGCCACGCTTCTTCTCAGGACTGGAAGATGTGCACTGGCTCCCAAGCCTGAGACAGCATGCCACCGCTTGCAGAAGCCCTTCCTGGCCTCCCTGCTGGCTGGGTGGGTGCTCACAGCCCCCAGAGTAATGTGGTCCCCTTTGTCTCTGAGGAACCTTCAGCCCCCAGGCCAGGCTTGGTGTTGGCTGCCTGAGACACTGAGAACATGGTGCAGTGGCTCTAGCACTGGGGGCTTGGTGGGCAAGGTTGGCACTGGGACACAGGAAGCATTTGTCCCCAGAGCATATCCAGCCCCAGCCAGACCTCCAAGTAGCACACTGTTCTTCTGCCCACCCTCTTTCCTGCCCCCCCCCCACCACCCCAGGCTGCCTTCAGGACCAGTTTGGTGAGGGCTGCAAGCACAAGTGTGCCTGTAGGAACGGGGGCCTGTGCCACACTGCCAGCGGCCACTGCTCCTGCCGCCTGGGCTGGATGGGGCCACACTGTGAGCAGGGTGAGTGTGCAAGGCAGCCAGGACCACCGCGTCTGTGTGGAACTGCACAGAAACTGGTTCCAAAGAGGGTAGCTGGGCTTGAAGTCCTTTGTGGGGGCTCCAGGGTGCCATAGAGGGCCGGGTGAGGCTATGAGACCCCAAGTCAGGTTACTGCCTGAAGGATCTTCCTTTCTGTCCTCTCCCTAGCCTGCCCTGCTGGGCGCTATGGTGCAGCCTGTAGCCTGGAATGCTCCTGTCGCAACAATGGCACCTGTGAGCCTACCACAGGTGCCTGCCATTGCGGCCCCGGCTTCTATGGACAGGCCTGCGAGCACAGTGAGTGGGGAACTGGGACTCTGCTCCAGCTGGGTGCCACTAGTTGTTCCCTGCTGCTGGGTGGGCCTTCTGTCTGGCATCGAGTTCTCCACAGGGACAGGCACTTTCTCAGTCATTCTTTTGGGACTGATGAGATAGGCTGACCCTGACTTGCAGCTGGGCTCCAAGGCTGGCGGTGCCCACTTAGGGTCACAGTGGGGAAGGAAGAGCTGGGCTGTCACTGGGTCCACTAGCTCCACCTCTCCCACGTGACCTCTGCTCCAGTCAGGATGCTTGGTGCTGTGATGGAGGAGCCAGGGTTGGAGGAGGGTATGGGCGCACAGGAGGGTCTTCTCTCAGGCCCCTGAGACCTTGGTCCTTTGGGGGCTTTTGCTGCCTCTGCCTTTGGCTCGTTCTAACCAGCTCCTCCCTCAGCCTGTCCCCCTGGCTTCCATGGAGCTGGCTGCCAGGGTGTCTGTGAGTGTCAACAGGGAGCCTCCTGTGACCCGATCAGCGGCCAGTGCCTCTGCCCTGCTGGCTTTCATGGCCAGTTCTGTGAAAGGGGTGAGTCTTCTAGGTCCCTCATAGGCTCCCACCTGACCCCCTCACCCTGGTGCTATCCAGTTTGGGTGCAGGACAAGGGGATGCTAAGTCCATTGCCCCCACCAGGGTGTGAGCCGGGCTCTTTTGGAAAGGGCTGCAGCCAGAGTTGTGACTGTGACAGGGGGGTGCCCTGCGACCCAGTCAGTGGCCTCTGCCTTTGCCCACCTGGGCTCATGGGAACCACGTGTGACCTGGGTGAGTGGAGGAACCTGCCTAGGAGGGGGCATGGGAGTGGGTCCCTGTCAGTAGCAAATATCCATCGTGTGGGCTGAGAACCCCCTGTGCTGACCCTGGGCACTGTGTTCTTCTGTGGTCACTGTGCCACATCCCATGACCTCTGGGGGACAGCCCCTGGGACATGCAGTGCTAAGAATACAGCCCCTGCTGGAGCTGGCCATCCCAGGCTCTACCCCATGGCTTCCCAATCCCGACAGTCTCTGCCCCAGTCATGGGAGGAGGCCCCAGTGGTGTGGAAAGGTGTCTGTGATCTGCCAGCCATGGGTGGTGGCATCAAGGGGTCTGTAGGCCTTCCAGACCCGAGAGCCTACCTGAGGATGGGAGCTGTCCTTCTGGGGCTGCACACCTCACTTCATGCCTATTGTGCCTCTCAAGCCCTGGGAAGAGCAGCGATGGCCACCAGGTCCCCTTTGCCCACTCATGTACTGAGCAGCTGTGTGCCCCTGAGGGCTGGTGCTTTTCCATGCAAGAGCACAAAGGCGGGGCAGAGACTGTCATACTCCTCAGGGGAAGCTGAGGCCCAGGGCCTTAGCTCCTGCCCATCTCCACACCAAGAACCCCACCCCTCCTTAGCACTCTGCCATGGCCCGGGGCAGGTAGCGATCGTGCTCAGGCCTGTCTCCCCACTACCTTTGGCCTTGCAGAGTGCAAAGGTGGCCACTTCGGGCCCAGCTGTGCTCTGCTCTGTGACTGCAGTGGTGGTGCTGACTGTGACCCTGTCAGCGGGCAGTGCCACTGTGTGGATGGCTACACAGGGCCCACGTGCCGGGAAGGTGAGTGGAAGGTGGGGGAGGGGAGACCATACTGCCTTACCTCCAGCTGAGGACCCATCCATCCCTCACCCCAACCACCAAATAGGCTGAACTAGGTCAGCCAGAGAGCACCTCAGCCGTCTCTGCTGGGCACCCAGAGTCCATACACCCTTGATGAGCAAGGGGTGAGCCTCAGAGCCATGAAGCCCCGGGGTTGTGCTGTCAGCCTGAAGCTGCCCCAAGAGCCGAAGGGTGACTTGCAAACCTCAGTAGGAACCTACAGATGCCCCCAAGCCTGCAGGCAGGGAAGGCTGGTCCACAGTGCGGGTAGGCCTGTGCGTCTGGGCAACTCTGGGCACGCTAGCTAGCACGTGTGTCAGTGTGCCAGTAACTCTGCAGTGGTACAGCATGTGCAGTCTCGCGTTTGCGTGCACCTGACATGTACACAAGGTGTGTATGTGGCAGTGCCTGTGTACCAGCATGTCTGTGTGTCCCAACACGTGTGTGTGCATCAAGTACCTGTGTATGTTCCAGCTCGTGTCCACCAGGTATGTGTGCACGTGCTTCAGTGTATGCACGGAGTCACGTGCAGAGTGGGGGAGCGTGTTCTTCACTTGCAGGCAGAGCTAAGTGTGCCGCACCCTCTAGAGCCCAGTCAGCTGCAGATGTTGGGAGGGGTTTCTGCAGCGAGAGGTGGGAGACCAACTGTGGGCATGTGTGGGGTGGGATGTGAGGACAGAGGTAAGGCTCCAGCCCGAGGGCTCTGCGATGTGGCTGAGCCAGGGTTCCAGACCTGGGATCCCCAGCTTGGAGGCCCCCAGTGTGGACCGGATATTGTGTATATGTGCATCCACAGACTGTCAAGAGCTGTAAAGGGAAGGAGCCCCTCCACAGCAGGGCAGGGTGGAGGGGGTAATGCAGCAATTTGGGGCTGGTGTTTGGATGCAAACCACAGTGGCATCCAGTGGTCAGTTCTGGTACTGCATGTTAGGGCAACCTGGGCACAGCCTTGACATTTAGTGGTCTCTGAAGGGGAAGAGGGTGTGGGCAAGGCCTCTCTGGGAGTCCTAGGCCCGCCCTCTGCCCTGGAGCGAGCCTGGCTTGGCCTTGGGCAAAGTCCCTCCCTGTCCAGCCCACAGCCCTCCCTCCACCCCTCCTGGAAGGAAGGGCTGGGAGCAGTCACTTGGGAAGCCTGCCAGGTCACACTGCTTGCTGAGGAGTGGGATAGAGACGGATGCAGTGTTTGTGAAAGTGGGGAGTCCCTGCAGGCCTGAAGAGGTGACTGCTGCCCAAGCAGGGGGGCACGTATGAGCTGTGTCTTTTCCCTGCACATGGCTCTCCCCTTCCCCCCCTCCAGCTCCCTGGGAGCCCATCCTCAGCCTGGGGTCTAGGAAAGGGGTGGGAGAACGCCCACAGGCTTGCCAGGAATATGCCCTGTGGCTAAGTCCAAAGGATTCCCACCTGGTGGGTGTGCCTGCTACCCTGGCACCTTCAGAATCTGGACCTCAGAGATGGAGTTGGACAAAGTTGGGGGGTGGGGAGGCTCGCTTCCCCTACTAGGCTTAGCCACTGGATGAAAGGGAAGGTGTCACCCTGAACGCTGGCTATTTCAGAGCTCCCCCACCCTGGGACTCATCCTCCTTTCTCCTCATGTCCCCAGTGGCCACACAGCCAGCCTTCAACAGACCAGTGACCCAACTCAGCAGGGCAGTGAAGCACTAGCTCAGAGGCTCTCCCTGCCACCGCCTTCCAGCCTGAGGGATCCAGGCCTTTGATGACAACTGAGAGGCCACACATGGACCCAGGACTCCTGGAGGGCTGTGGATAGCTGTGGATCTCTATAGAGGACTGTGGACAGCCTCTTGATCTGCCAGGAGTCTGTGGCCATGAGGAGTGGGGTCTCGTGGCCACATGTAACCCAAAGGAGTGGACTGTGCCTCAGGCTACACCATCCACACCAGGTGCTGGTCAGGCTATGCTTGAGGAAGCCCAGGCCCTCCCAGCCCTGGATCAGGACCAAGACACGTGTGGTACAGGTTTGGGCAGGTGCCTGTCATCCTAACAGGTCCTTCTGGTGCTAAGCTAGACTGCTGCAGCCGGTCGACTGTTTACCTGGAGCATCGCCCGGCCTGTATTTATGTGAAGGTATTTATGGCACCAATCCCCACTGCAGCCCTGGGTCATCTAGAAACACTCCATTCCAGGAAGCCCAGACTCAGGTCAATGGGGCTTGAGGCGTCTCCAGGGGATGTGTTCAAGGTTTGTGTAAAGTCCAGTGAGTTAAAGGTGCAGTGGCTTCCTTGTGGCCTGTCTCTTTGCACTTTGGGTGAGCTTTGCGTGGGTCTTCCCCAAACCAGCTGGCATAAGGGAAGCCCAGACAGCCCTGTGGCCCTCCCTGCAGATGAGGTCACCACACAAACCATGCCAAGGTTCATTCTGGCCTCTAGCACTGTCCTGGAGGATGCTGGGGCTGCCCTAGCCCAATGCAAATGGACCTGCAGAATTCCTGATGCCCAAGATGTCCTGAGACCTAGAAAATGGCTGGTCACAGAGCCTGTGTGAGGGAAGAATGGCCCAGAGGGAAGAGGGCAGGGCTGCTGTGGAGGCAGCCTGGGCAGAAGCTACACTCACCCTGTCAGCCCTACACCAGTGTCAGCAGGGATGAGGGTTGGGCAGCATCACAGGATCCAGGGCTCCCTAGATGAGAACAGACCAGGCCTCCTGAGTGTTGGTGCTCAAGCGCTGAGGCCAATGCCACCCATGAAAAAGGTGGTGCCCAGAGCAGAGGTGGAGGGGTAGGTGGAGGAGTTGTGGAGTTTCTCTGGACAGGAGGGCAGAAGTGGAGAGAGTTGGACTCACTCTGTAACAGGGGACACTCTGCTGAGACTCTCCTCCACCTCCCAAGGTCCAGAAGGCCCCCTTCTCCTCTCCCCATCCAATACCAGCCAAGGCAGCTGATGCCTTCTGGGGCAGGGAACCCCACAGGAGGGCAGGAAGAAGATGATACCAAGGAGCTCAGATGCCTTAAACAGGAGTCTTAGTTTGGCAGCAAAGTCAAAGTAATGGAGCGGGTGAGGGATGACAGAAAGATGCTGTCTCAGGAGCAAGCAGATGGAGGGAGCTGCTGTGAATACCGCGTGTGACAAGTACCTGTGGCAATGAAGTGCCACCATGGGCTGAGTAGACACAGCATGCAGAGGAGAGGCTAATAGGAGTGGGTAAGGGAGTGTGGGTCGCATCTTCCAAATGAACTCCCAGGAGCAGGAGAGACCGTAGACCTGAAGCAGCAGTCAACAGGAAGTTCTCAACTCTACGGGTGAGAGCACCATGGACAGCAAACCAAATCTGCCACAGTCTAACATCAAGGCTGGATATGCCTGTAATCCCAGCACTTGAGGGGCTGAGGCAGGGGGATGAGAGTTCAAGGCCAGCCTGGCCTGTGTAGCAAGACCCTATCTCAAAAAAATTACTTATATATATATATAATATGTATGTCATACATATAATTTAAAAGACCAGGTGTGGTGTCATATACCTATCATCACAGCTATGCAGGAAGCAGATTGGAAGGATTGAATTTCGAGGCCAGCACAGGCAAAAAGTTAGTGAGACCCTAGCTCAACAAATAAGTTGCGTGTGGTGGTGTAATCACCACAGAGGCACAGGTAGGAGGATCTTGGTCCAAGGCCAGAGCTGGGCTAAACAAAAACAAAACGAAAATGCAAGACCCTATCTGAAAAACAAAGCAAAAAAGGATTAGAGGCATAGTAGAACACCTCCTTGACAAGTGAGAGGCTGTGGGTTCAAACTCCAGTACAAATTAATCAATCACATCACATCAGCAGCGAAGAGAAATTCTAAAATGCCTGGGAAAAAGGAATTGGATTCAGACTGACAAGAGACTTGATAAGAGAAACACTGAAAGCCAGAGAGGTGATGTCTTCAGTGTTGAAGAAAGAGTGTGAAACCCGAATTGCATGTCCAGCTGAACTATGGTGAGGTGCAGTCAGCATTGGTCTTCAGTTTCCAGGGCACTGTTCGGTTCACCCACAGAAGGCTGATTTGCAAGGCTTCTAGGAAAAGTTCCTCAGAAGAACAAGGACCCCACTGGGAGGTATGGCTCAAGAGAACTGAAATACTCCCATGAATCCATGAGAGCAGCCCAGACCCTATGTGAGGCCAGTGTGAGTGTGTGGGCAGGGGTGGTGGTGAGTGAGAAGTCACTGGTCCTGAAGGGTGGAAGATAGTGATTGGCCACAGAAGGCAACAAGGCAGAGCCCAGTGCAGACTTTGAGAGTGAGGCACAGCTGGCACAGGAATGCAGATGGGACACTCCAACTTCAGAGTCTCCAGAAGAAATGGATTCATCCAGTGGAAGACAGAAGGGAACGTGCAGTTTAATAAGGAGAAAACAGGCTGGCAAAACCTGATGTAAATGGCCACCACAGAGGATCCAAAAACAGAGCACCAGACTGGATTAGAAACACAGTCGAGCTGGGTGCAGATGGCTCACGCCTGTAATCTTAGCCACTTGGGAGGCTGAGATTAGGAGGATCGTGGTTCAAGACCAGCCCTGGCAAATAGTTCATGATGTCCCCATCTCTAACATAACCAGAGCAAAATGGACTGGAGGTGTGGCTCAAGCCATTAGAGAACTTGCTTTCAAGCATAAAGCCCTGAGTTCAAATCCTAATTCCACCAAAACCAAAAAAGCCCACAGTCAACAGAATCTGGAGTATAAAAGAGCCAATTAACCATTCAAATGAGAGCTGGTGAAGGACTTTCAGTATTGCATGGTGAAAAGCATTAAACTGTCTATCAACACACACACACACTCCCCAACTCAAAAATTCATGGAACCGTGATGGATAACTGGTGGTTGAAATATGCTCTTTATAAATAACCAATAGGTTAAGCAACCAAACAGCAGTGATAAAGTCTGAATAAGCTTTAACCCAGCTATATGTGTATTTATCATGTTTATATGCTCTGCGTGCACATCTGTACTTAATCTGCGTAAACTTTTATGCAAGTGGAGAACAGTGGAACGTGTGTGGGGGGGTGCAGGGCCTCGCCACACCAGGCGGATGCTCCATCCCTGAGCTATAACCCTAGCCTTGGAACACTTAAGCCAAGACATCCTTTAAAGTCTAATAATAATAATAATAAGCATAGCAGATGGACAATTCTTAAAACATGAAGTGAGGGAAAAGAACACCAACTGCAGACAATACAGAGTAAGACTTAAAAAAAATGTTTCGGGCATCTATGTATTGATAAATTTGAAAACGGGAAAATGGGCAAGTTTGGGGGGAAAACAAAATGCCAGGATTGGTGTAGCAGAGATGAAGAATGTGACTAAGCCAGGGACGTAAGTAAAAGCAACAGTGAACTATCTGCACCTTCGCTGTGTACCAGTCCCGGCAGCCCCTGGTACTGGGGTCAGTGTAGGTGGCTGGACCAGCCTTCCAAAGCCTGTGAACTTATCTAACAGGATTTGTTCCAGAAACCTTAGAGGAAAAGCAGCTCACCTCATTTCATGGGGCCAGTATCAACTTGGTTCTAAACCCAGGTGAGGGAGGGATAGGAAACCAACCAGAGGCTCCACAAGTATACAGAATTCCCAAAAAGAAATATGAGCTGACCACATAAAAGTATTTAAAAAATAATGTTGACTTGGACACATGGGGACTGGACTTGAGAAAAGCAAGAAAGTGTGTCCATGTATTCGGCTGAGGAGACTCAAAAGCAGAAAGCATTTGATAGAATGTAGCGCCTGCCCAGGTGAGCACTCTTGGCAAACTGTGTTCATTTCTTGCCCATGGTTATGTGCAAGTGATATGGTTAGGAGAGAAGTGGTGAACTGGGGTCTGTCCAATCACTGCCACCTAGGAGGCCTTCCACACACATCTAAGTGATGGTCACTAGGTGACGGTCACACCTCCTCCCAGTGTCACTGGCGCTAATGTCACATCCTGCGTTCTCTGATTGGCCTTCCCCACTACAGCACAAGGTCTGGGGAGCCAGAAGCTTACTGGCTCCATGCTGGACACTGGTTAAGAACCGTCAGAAGACACCTGTGTCACCCATCATCTCACCTCCCCACCACAGCAGAGCTCAGAGGCAGGGTGGTACTGCCAGGTAAGAAAAGTCAGCTGGAGGTGTAAGGACCCATGGACGAGAAAGGAACCTGTGTTTTCAGAAAACAGATTATCTCTGGAGAATCCAAGAGGGCCAACAGATTGTTGCAGTTAATAAGAATTTGGCAAGATTGGGCAATAGAACCATTTAAATCATGTAAAATGTACAAAACCTCTCCGACTACCAGTTCTACATCAGCCATTACCAAGTAAAATCAAGACACCATTCAACATGGCAGAAAACCCACATACACCAGGGAATATGTCCTAAATCTTTTCATTCTTTGACAGTTTTTAAAGACCTGAAAAAGTGGCCTGAGGGGCTGGAGGTGTGACTCAAGTAGTACAGTGCTTGGCCCTGAATTTACATCCCAGTACTGCCCCAAAATAAAAAAAAAAAAGCCTGAAAAAAACGAAGACAAAAGGATAAATACAACAGAAGTCACTCCCCAGTTCTTACATCTCCAAAGCCCAGCAATGGAGCTCACAGGTGGCAGCTGGGGAACAATCTGCCACGTCTAAAATGGACAGGGATCTGATGTCAAGAGTGAACGAGCAGAGGGAGAGATTGAGAAGTGAGCACAATTTACGGACACCCAAAGGCGGGGGAGGGGCAGTCTCACTACAGCTGCACACGGAAGTGCTGGTAAAAGGTAAAACCTGGAGTCAGGACTCTTAAGTGAGGCATGAGTGCTGGGGTCCCCAGGTCACCTCCTTTCCTCAAGAGCCCAGCCAGCAGTACTTCTGTGGGCCACCAGGGGACACTGGAGGGACGCACCACCACCACCTGGTTGGCAGTAGAGGAAACCCGGCAATCTGACGGAAAGGAGGATGAAGGGTGGTGCGTACTGTGGAATGTTCTGGAGGGGCTAGACCCAACAGCCAGGTGCACCGAGAGTAGCACAGGTAACCCCAGGCCAGCTGAGTGGGAGGAGAAACAAGGTCGTGTAGGCACACATTCTTTATGTGAACTGTCCCACACCAGGACACATCCTTCAGAGGTGGGTGTGCAGGGAAGGGTGCCCAGGGGGTGGGACGAGGCGATCACTATGGCTGGTGAGGGGCTCAGCCTGGTGCCTGATACTCCCTGGACAAAAGACTCATGGCCTGTCTGATCTCCAGCCACTCATGCTGCTTCTGTGCCCCCCAAGATCCAGCTCTTGCTCCTACCTTCTCAGGGAAGCTGGGGTAGGTGCCCACCTGGCCCCAGTGTCCACTCTGTGCCCAGTTGGAGCCGGGCATTGGGGTTTGCTGAGATGAAGGACCTGGGCCTCTGCTGCCTAGGCCACCCTTGAGAAAGGAATCAGAGCAGCCCATGTTGCCTCACAGACCGAGGGCCACCGAGGTGCCCCATGGGTGGCAAGGCCTCCGAGACACCTGCTACTTAGGACCTGGTCCCACTGGGTTCCGGAGTTAGCTGGTGTTATTAGAAGCATCAGTGGCCCCCTCAAGCCCCTGACCCCAGCAGTGGGCCTCAGTTTCCCCATCTGCAACAGGAGAGAAGGCCATGAAGCCAGACAAGAAGAGGGACTGGGCTAGACAAAGCTGTTCCTGGTGCCAGATGCCCCACCCATGCTGAGTGGGTGACAGGCTCGTCCTCAGGAGGGGCAAGGGAGCCAGCAGGTGCAGGCTGGCCCTGTCCTGTGTGTCCCTCATGCCTTGCCAGCAGTTGGGCCTGGCACTTCCTGACTGCTGGGGGAAGAGTTTCCTGCTCAGGTGGCACTAGCTACCCTGAACTCTACCAGGTGTCCTTTGGCGGTCCTCCACAAGGCTGGGCATCCTTGCCCCTTGCTAATGAAGCAGTTGGAGATTAAGCTGAGACGAGCAGAGCAACCTGCTCTAGGTGACACAGCAAAAACAGGCCCTGACCTTGGGGCCCTCCAAACCTACTTCGCTCCATTTACTGAACATGTTCTTGGCAGAGGACCAGAGGTGGGCCAGCCTACCCCATGGGATCAGCAGTGAAAACAAGCCAGGGGCTAAAGGACAGTTAGTTTTACACAAATTTGCCATCTGCTGGCTCCTGCCTGCCAAACGTGGGCACATGCGTGCATGCACACTCACTCACTCACACTGCCATCCTTGGCAGCCAGCAGCTCCGGGAAAACATCGGTGAGTTCAGCTCACAGCTGAGGAAATGGACGTGAGATGCCCATCTGTCCAGGGCCCCATCTCCATTGAGTCAACCCCAGGCCACGCCTCTTTACTGAACCCTAGCCCCTAGCCCCTAGCCCCTAGCCCAGGTTGAGCCTGGACTTGGCCCTTCCGGTCCCAGAAGCCGCAGGAAGGAGCTATGCCTCCCTTCTGGTACAGAGCCCCCTCCCCACCGCACCCAGCTGCAGCTGCCCTGGGGCTGAGAGGGGCTGAATGGGGCCTCCTGCACCCCCATTTCTGGTCTGTTCCTGGAGGAGATGTACCCTTACATGCAGAAGCTGGGAGCCCAGCAGGATCAGGGCAGATTCTCTGGCATGTGCTGGGTGCCGTCACCCCAGACTCTAGCACCACCTAAGCCAAGAAAGGCAGGGGACATTAGCTCTGACCAGAGGAGCCATGGCCTTGCCCATGACCCTCCAGCCAAGGGACAGACAGACCAGAGCCAAGGATAAGCACCAGTGGCCATGCACAGGGGCCAGTCCCAGCCCATGGCACCTTGGAAATTTCACTGGAACGCATGACTGTGACCTTCACCTGGGCTGAGATTTACTGTGGAAATCCAAGGTTTAAAGAAATACTTTAATTTTAGTTTAAAATCCCCAAGTCAGTTTCCCTGCTGGCACTGCAGGTTGCCTCCCTCCATGGCTGTGCTCTCAGAACATGGGCATCCTGGGCACTTTGGACCCTTCTTGTTCCAGTTAGGGATGGGAGGGGTGCGGCAGGGAGATGGCCCCACCTTGTCCCACTAAGGCAGTGGTCCTGTATCATCAGCCTGGGTTTAGCTCCTTTGCAGGAACCCAGCAGGGTGGGTGGCGTAGTTGTCAGGAGGCAAGGGGAGCCAGGTTGGGCTCCTGAGGGTGTGGCCCCGAGTGTCCCTCGAGGACTTTTCCCTGGGTGGCCAGCGCCATCTTACATCTGTGGATCTTACTTCTGCGGAGTTCCATAGCCTGGGCTCAGCCACAGGGGATTGGGAAGACTTGGGAACAATGCCAGGCCCTGAGACAAGGTCACCACACTTGCTGGAGCTGGGCAGGGCCACTTGCTGTGCTGAAGGGGCCGAAGCTGTGCCCACCGCAGGCTGAGTCTCAAGGCGCCCGCCAACTGGCTACACACCCGTCTCCACCCGTAAGCGCTCCATCCGACGCATGTTGCCCTCCACGGCCACACGGCTGGTGATGGAGCGGGCAAAGCCTTCAGGAAACCAGCCTGTCTCTCCATCCCGAAGCCTCTCGCCGTAGAGCCACCCTGTGTGCGGACAGGGCAGGTGAAGGGCAGGCTGCAGTCACTCCAGCTCCTGCACACTGCTCCTGAGGATGCCAGGACCCAGGAAGCTTTTGGAAAACTGACCACCCCTCCTGCCTCAGGAGAGGACAGTGAGGACGCCTTGCTCCATGCCACCTGGGCACCCAGCCTGCCAGGAGCCAATCACTGAGGTCATTGGGGCTGCACCCGCCTCACCCAGCTTCACCCAGGGCCCTGTGTAGACATATGCAGGGAGAGGCTGAGTGGGGACCCCTAGCAGACCAGACACCCCCTTCTCCTGCTTAGGGCACAGAGTGACAGAGTGATAAAGAAATTGCTTTGATTCCATAACTCAGGGACACAGAGGCTTCCATTTGACAAAGGCCCTGAGGGCAGATGAAGCAGGCCATGAACCTTGCACCCCAGTGCACACTGCATGCTCGCCAGGGCTGACCGCCTGCCCATGCTTACCATCCTCCTCCTGCAGGACCAGGACCACATCAGCCTGCTGCAGCGTGATCTCATCCGCCTGCTTGGCAAAGTAGGCCTTGGTGATCTCCACCTGGGGCAGCTCTGAGTGGGGGAGCGGACATCAGTGGTGAGTCCAGGAAGGGCTTGGCCAAGACCGCTGCAGTCCTAGGCAGAGGGGACTCCACCTCCCAGCACCTTTCTGTAGACACCTGGCCCCCAGGGACTCAGCACAGGACCAAGGACAGCTTCCTTTGAGCTAAGCGGGTCCTCCAGAGGCTGCAGGATAGGCACTCCTGCTTTTGAGGTCAAAGCACCCAGCTCTGGCAGAAAGGGCACTCCCTCCCCTAATGGGACGCAGGGCCAGAGCCGGAGGTAACAGATCTATGGACCAGCCTGCTCTGTCTCCTGAGGAGCCCACAAAAGACAGCTTGATCTGTGTGCACGACAGACACACGTCCACAGGTCCAAGGTCCAGTTCCAGGGGCAGGTGGGCTGTGGTAGGGACTGAAAGCTGGACCGTGTCCCTCCTCGCCAGGCCAGCCACATCCCAGAGATGCAAGTCTGGCCAGTCCCTGCCCCACACTCACCTCCTTTGTTGGTGGGGCCCTGCCACTGCCTCTCCTTATAGGTGAGTGCTGTGATCCACCGGGCCCGGTCACTCCTGGGGGCCAGAGAGAGTGTGAGCGAGGCCTCACTTGCCTAGGGGTCTCTGAGCCCGCTATCCCCCTGGCTCACTGTGCTGCTCCATGGCAAGGACTCAGGGCTTTTGCAGGACTATGTCCCTGCCAAGTACTTCTGTGTCTGCTATTTCATCCCCTCCCTTCCTCCAGGACTTGATTAAACGCCACCTTGTCAATGGTGAGGTTTCCTCACCAACACCATCCAAACCTGACCCCTACACCCTCCCTCCTGGTACTGGACAACTCAGTGGTTCATCCATTGGTGTGCCCCTCCCGGGAACAAAAACACGAAGGGACATTTGTGTGCTTTGCTCAGGGCTCTGCCCTGCAGCTCCAGCAGTTCCCGGCACACGGTAGGAAATTGCTGTGAATCGCCACTGAGGACTAGATACTGCCACCCTCAGGGTCTTGCACCCACGTGGACCTCAAGGGACTGCCCCCTCCCCTGTGACCTTTCCTCCCATGCCCAACTTACGCAGAGTCGGAGGACAGCAGGATCAGCTCCTGGTGGCCCTCACTGTTGCGCAGCAGGGTCACCTGGAAGGGGTGGGGCACGGAGGAGCTGCGGCTGCCGCCCCCAGGTAGAGAGAGCTCTGAGGGCTCCAGCTTCCTGACCTGGACGTGATCCAGTTGGGCATAGTCCTGTACCACGTAGCTGTCCTCACTGTGAGGACACAGGAGGTCAGTGGTGCCTCCGCTGCAGGGAGGCACTCCCAAGACCCGCTCCCTGAGCCCAGAGACAAAGGTCTACAGTTTTTAGGTCCTCTTTGCAGCCTGGGTGTGAGGCCCAGCCCTGGGTGCTGGCAGGAGCCATTCAGCCACCTTGTATCACGTGGGTATGGAGCTGAATGCCAAGGTCAGAAGGGCTCAGGCTGTTCCCCGACACTCCTGGCGCTTTCCAGCCCCATGGCCTGTGGCCCAGCACCTACCTCTTCTTCTTGGTGACGACCAGGACATCACTGAACAGGAATAGGTAACACGTCGGCCGGCTAGCGATTTTCCTAAAAAGCCCGGTTTCCTCCACCAGGAAGAGCTCCCCGCGCTTCAGCAGCCAGCGAGAGGCGGAGATCAGCGGGAGGGACTGAGGACAGAGACAGATGAATATGACCCCTGGCCGGGGAGGCAAGGATGAGACTCTCTCTTGCCTCCCTAGATTGCGTGACCAGCATTGAAACGTGCCTGGGTTTTAAATAATGGTTATTGAGCATGCTCACAAGTGCTGGGCTCCAATCCAGGCCAGGCCAGCCCTGCCCAAACTCCTCCAGCCAAGCCCACATGGTACCTGCTGGGCACCTGCTGAATGTCCCACCTGAGCTGGAGTGGAGGCCAGTCCTGGGGAGGGCTCCACACCTCTTTACCTCAAGGTGTTTTGGGTGGAGGACTCAGATCTGCACTTCCTAGGAGTGAGATGTGCCAGGGGCCAGCGCCAGTATAAGAAGATTGGCCTGCTCAGGATGGCCACTTTGGGTGTCCAGGACCCCACTCCAAAACAGCTGCTTCCCACCCTGGAGCCTGGTACTACGTTGAGTGGAGTAGGGTGGAGGTTAAAAGCACAGAAAAGAGGGGGCCACCAGAGCAGGCTTAGCTGGGGAGAGGGCCCCGCTCCTAAGCTAGCAGTTAAGGCTGCTCCCCAAATATGCTGTTAACATGCTCACACCCAACATCTCTTGCCCAACCTCTGCCCCACCACTTCCCCACCTGGACCAGCCTCCCCTCCCCACTTCCAGACTGCCCTCTATGCCTGCCTGACTTCCAAGACCACATGGGGATGGGTGCCCCACTTGGTCCCAAGGCCTGGGACTGGGCTCTTGCTATGGGTGGGGTACACTGCACCCCAAATATGAGAGGACCAAGGATCTGAATATATGGCCTACATAGGGTGGTGGTTGTTGGCAATCATCACCCTCATGCCTTCTTCATGGAGCCCACCAGAACCACTCCCAAGGGACCCACTGCCCTTGCTGGACCCTCTGAGGCCTCACTGCTGGGCCCTACCCTGGGTGGCCTGGGGCTCATCACACAAACCAAAGCACCTCTTAGTGGACAAAGGGGCACCAAGTGGACAGGGCACCGGGATGGGTCCATATTTGGGACTGGCTACTGGGGCTGACACTGGATAACAAGGGATGAGGCCAGGTTGGAGTTGGCTGGAGGGGGTCTGAGGAGGACAAGGTCTGAGTTCTGCCTGCTTGGAAGGGAGGTGAGGGTTGTTCAGGCACAGGCTGGAAACATGGTGCCCCTTGATCCGACCCTTACTGAGATCTGAGCTGGCCCCTCACTCTCTCCTTGTCCTTGGGGATGCCCTGACCAGCCCCCAACAAGCCAGCAAGGAGCCCTGGCCCAGGAGGGGCAAAGTGACTGGCATACACTCTGCCTATGCAGTCCAGGAGTGATGGCAAAGCCAGAGGCTCCCCTCTAGGTGTGCTAAAAAGCTGAGTGCAGGAATCCTGCACACGGCACATACCCCTATGGGAAAATGAGGCCTGCATAGACCAAAGGCACCACTACCTGAGCTTCTTCAGGGTAGGCACTCCCAGACAGAGACCTCTCTCCAGCCCTCAGGCTCAGGGAGTGTGACCTCTAGACTCAGATTGGTGGGGAGGGGGTCTTAGGGAGGTCTGGCTGGCAGCACCTACCTTGACCTTGCCGAAGTCCAGCTGTGTGTGCAGTGTGTACATCTGCTCTGTACGCTCCATCTTGTGGGCCCCCTCGTTGCACTGCTTGACCAGCTGCAAAGTGTGGACACAAGCATTCACAGGCTGGACTGCAGGGCTGCAGGGCTGCAGGGAGGTCCACAGAGAGCTCTGCCCTGCAGTCCTTAGTGCCTGACCTCCTGGGTGGTGCCGGGCTGGTCCTAGTCCCAGGGGTTCATTTACTGGCTCCAGGCCTGTTTCACCATCAGTACCACGAAAAACTTAGCACAGATAATCCCGAATGCTTTCTACCCCTGGGACTGTGCTATCTGGTGGGCTGGGAAGAACATGAGACAGGGCTATGGGGGAGATACAGGGGTCAGGGCTAGGATCAGCTCCCTGCCTGCCCTTGCCTTACCTTGCTGATGGCCTTCAGTGCACGGCTGGCAGCCTTGTACCTTTCAGGGTGACCCTCGGTCTTGAGGCAGAGTGTCTGGAGAAGACACCAGCAGTAAGGAGCCAAAGCCCCTCTTGGAGGCCTATGCAGGGCAAGGGCTCCCCACTAATTCCAAACCCCGGGTAGTGGTTGCAGGATAAGGGCCTCCAGACGGCTCCTATAGGGCTCCACCAGTGTACACAACCCCCAATGGCCTCTGCACCCCTGGGGCTCAGCCGGGACAGACTGGATTGGTGGGAATAGAAGTTGGCACCTCCATTTCCCACCACTTCCCATTGTGGTTGTCTCCCTCAAGCCTGGGGAGTGGCCAGTGGAGGACCTTGGCAGCCCCACTGCTATATAGCTCTAGGGGCCAAGGGTCTGAAGTTCACTGTGGCTCGTGTAGCCACCTCAGTGAGCTCTGCCTCTGCAGCCTGTGGGAAGTTGGCACATGTACACGTGTGTGCTCTACGGGCAGTGGTGACCACGATGCTGACCACAAGGAGAGAATTATCTGCACTGTCCAGTGTTTGCTATCATAACTATTCAAATCACACAGACAGAGCTGGTGTGGAGGAGCTGGTGGAGGTCAGATGGGCAGTGCCTGGCCTGAAAGCAGGACTCCATGGTGGGGTCCTGTGACTGAGTGTGGATGGTGGTGTCCCAGACCGTTACTCACATCAGTCAGGAGGGGCAGCCGGGTCACTCGCTGCATGGGGAGGATCAGAAAGGAGATCATGGGGAGACCTCCACATGCAGGCCGCTTCTCGATGTCCCTCAGGACCTCACGGAAGGTGGCGTTGCTGTTTCTGCAACAGAGGACACAGCTGTCCCTACTGTGGGCAGGAGCCTAGCCTGGCCAGCCCATGAGAGATGGGGTGGAACCTGCCGGAAGGGGCTGTGAGCACGGGGACCCACTCACGTTAGCTTCTGCAGGGTGCGCTGCTGGTAGACCTCGTTGGAGCAATAGACAACATAGGGGTGGAAGTGCCTCTCAGCGTGTTCCTCCAGGATGTCGCTGATGTCGTCCACACACACCTGCGCCTTGTGCCGCTGCTCCAGGGCCTCAAAGAACCTGCCGCACAGGGGGTGGGATGAGGCCCTGCCACCATGCCTGCGCACGTTTACAATACACAGACATGCATATGCAGACATGCGTGCACCCACATACACACATGGCAGGAGCCACACTCCTGGAAGCGGCAGGTCAGTCCCCAAGCCAGATGGGAGCTCATGCAGAAGGGAGCCAGGACTCTCTGCAGTGCAACTGTGAACCTTCCTCTCCGATCCCTGAACCTCCACGACAGATCAGTTTCTTTTGCCACCTCCCAGGAAGCATCCAGCCCTGTGCCTGCCCCTGACATGAGCTCAAGGGCAGAGATGCAGTGCCCAGTCTTATAGGCACAGAGGGGCTACACAAGGGCCCTGAAAGGCAAAACAGGATCACATCTCTCCAGGGACAGGTCCTGCATCCCAGGTGGCTCTGCTAGCCAAGCTCCCTGCCAGGCTTCACAAACCATCCACCTTCACTGAGTCCCACCCCATTCTGAGGGGGTCAGCCCAGGTCACAGCAGGTAGATAGGCCCAGGCTCTGGCAACCTCCCTGGAGGTAATGGCCAGCCCCTGAGCTCCTCTATGAGCAGGCCCCAGTCTGGGGTGGCGAGGATAAAGTGAGTTAATGCCATACCCACAGCTGCATGGACACACACACACACACACACGCATGTGCACACACACACATGCAGGTGTGCACAAAATAATGGCCAGGGTTCTGCCCTGTCCGCCTCTCCAGGCCCTGATCTGGTCCTCCCACTAGACCTCTGTCCATCTGAGAAACCCCTTCACTGGCTTGGACGTGGCAGTGGTCCCTTAGGACCCAGCCATGCTCTCCCACATAGGGACCTCACTTCCTGTAAGCAGACACCCCAATGAGGCACTGGTCCTTGGGAAGTCCCAGGAGACAGAACAGTAAGTCAGGACATCTGTGGGTGAGGCTGGAGAGTGAGTCAAGGCCCAGCAGCCTACAGGCCAGGCTGCCCAGCTGAAACGCAGGACTTGGGTTTCCGAGAGAGTTCTGGGAAAGCCAGCCATCAGCCACTGTCCCAAAACAGCACTGATTCCAGGAGGAGGCCATTGTGAATGGTTGAGAGGGGACTGGCAGGGGGCCAGAGTCCCACACTAAGGTAGTGATGGGTCCCCACCCTAAGATGGTGGAGGGGCCAAAAAAATGGAGGCTGTTCCACAAAGGGGGGCACACTGGGAGGGGAGCATTGGGGAGGAGTGACCCCTCTTCCAGATCCTCCTCCCCCCGCCCCCCGACTTGAGTCAGGGGTAGGGAGTTTCCCATAGCCAGTTGCTGAAGTTCTACAGGAAGCCTGTCTCCAGGAACAGGACAGTCTCTTTCACCCAGTCCCCCATGGTGCTAAAACTTTAGGAGAGGTGGGCAGGGGTGCCCACAGGCAGCAGACTCTGGGTGGACTTGGCAAGGGCCGGGCTGATTCTAACATGAAGGAGCCAGCAGTCACCATGTTCCCTGAGCCCAGCCTCAAAGCCAGAGAGCCAGGGCCCCATGACCTACTCATCACCCCACCCCACTCATTCCATCCCAGCCCTGCCTGTGTGTGGGCTTAGAGGGCTGGGCTCTCTAGGAAATTAAGACACATGCGCACACACACAGAGGCACACACAGGCATACACAGACAGGTACTCACTCACAGCCTTATTCAGGTGTGCACAGGTATACACATGAAAGGGCACACACAATCACTGGCACACACACATGCACACATGTGAGACACAAGAACATAAGGCAAGTACAGGCACACAAAGCATACAGTCAAGTGTACGCACACACATGCCCTTGATGGCCTGCAGCTGCACGCTTGGCCCCTCCTTCACCTCCAGTTCTGCAACCAGAGCCCAGTCCAGCCACCGGACACTCCTGGGCAGAACATGACCTGGGGCTGCAACTTGAGGCTTCCTCTTAGCTGGGTGAGCACCCGTGTGCACTGCCACCTGTGTCATGAGGCTCTCCACAAATGCCTGTCAGGTAGCTGTCTATGCCCAGTTCTGTGGTGGGAAGGTGCCTGTCAGAGAGGCAGGACTGTGCCCTATGAGAAGTGCTACACCTTTCCTGAGAGGCCAGGATGCCCACCATCCTGTTGCTCAGTGGTCCCAGGGGTCAGCTTTGTGGCCTCAAAGGCTCTTGGAGGTTGTCACACTCTGTGCCAGTCAGCAGCTGCAACAAACCGTCCCATCTACAGATGGCAGCCCAGAGCCAGCCAGCACCATCACAGTGCTGACCAACTGGGGCAGGGTGGCCTTTCCAGTCACACTGCCCAGGAAGTGAGGGTTCCATGACCATGGGGGAGGGCTGAGAGTGGCTCACTTCTGACTAGCGGCCAGCACGTCCAGAATGTTGGAGAAGAGGTGGTGATGTTCCGTCTGTGTTATGGTTGTCCGCAGATCGTGAGACTGCAGGAACTCCACCACCAGGATGTTCAGGCTGTGCAGGTAGGAGTACTCAGACGTCAGAATTTCAAAGATGGCCTGTGGCAAGAGGAGATGGTGAGCTGCTCTGCCCAGAGGAGCTTGTGCCCAGGATGTGACAGGTGCTCAGAAGAAGAGGAGGCAGGGCAGGCAGAGACCTGGGACCCTGAGCACAGCCCCTGGATAGTGTTGTCAGAACAGCCTGCCCAGGTTGACAGCGAACCTCCTGGCTTTGCACTCTGGTTCAGGCACTTAGCAGCTGCATGAAACTGGGCAAGGGCTACCATACTGCCTGAGAAGGGGGCAATGGTAGCCCCATCCCAACACTGCCCAAGGTGGCAAAGGAGCTCAGAGAGTGCCTGACCCAGGGTATAGGCCACAGTCCTCGGCCATCCACAGTCCTCAGTCATCATGACCACATCTGACCCAGGAGGCAGCCAATGGGTGGGTGAGTGGGTGGACATCACTTTGGTTTCTGTCCCCTTCCTCCAGGGTGCTATATGGTCCCCTTGATGTCTGGGGTGGGGGCACCTTGGCCAGCACCCTCTGCTCAGTGCCCCCTGCCCAACACCTTACCTCCTGCCTCTTGCGCTCCTCAGTGGACAGCTTGTCAAGGATGCCCGACTCCACCACCTGAAGAGGGCATAGGCTGGGAGTTATATAGATTATACATCCCGGAAGCTGGAGCCAGACACTTACCCATGGACCAGAGCCAACATGGAGACAGAGCAGCCCAGAGGAGGCAGGAGTCTGGGCAAAGCCATCCCTGACATAGAACATCTGCAGCCACCCATGCTCAGCTCAGTGACCGTGAACTGGCTGGTCCTGTTACTGCATCTCCCTCTCTCTGGAAACCTCCAGGGGGAAGCCCACCCTTCAATAGAGACTTGGGCCAGCCCAGGAATAGCAATGGGAAGTCCAGAGGGAGATGGGGGCATCTTTTCCCAAAGACCTGCCCTGAGAGTGTTGGGGGAGGAGGAGCAGTCTAGAGCCCACCCAGAGGGCAGGGCCACAACTCAGACAATACTTGGGCAGGTGAGTCAGAGCCCTGGAAGAAAGGTACAGTAACACTGAGCCAGCATGGTGGCACTACCAGAGCTCTCTGCCCCCTTAGGGCCCGTAAGTGTGCCTCCCTTGTGTTGTGGCACGCCTGGTCCCTGCAGAGCAGGCCAGGACAGGCTGTATTGCCGTGCTGCCTAGCCTCTGCAGGATCCAGGGATGCCTTCATCAGAGGCCATCAACAGTGCCTGGGCCTCAAGTTTCTTCCCATGAGGGGGTGGCAGGAGATCTGATATCCAGCAGTGTTACTGAGGTGCAGTAACACTGAGGACGTGGTAACACATGCCCAGCTCCCGGCAAGCAACAAACATACTTCTGGAAACTTCTACCCTCAGCTGGGCTCTCCCTAGCCGGAGAGTCCACAGCAGGCAGAAGCATGGAGGGTCCCTTGTCCCCCATGGGGATGGCAAATGAAGCACTCCACTGTCCTGAGATGAAGGGAAAGCCAGGCCCACCACTTCCTTTCCCACTGCCTGCCTGGGGGGACAGGGGGTCACGAGTCTATCTACAGCAGCCAGCTGTGCCCCTAGTAGCTGTAGCCTCCATACACTGGGGCCACTGTCCCAGTCCTGCTGTCTACTGAGCCCCCACAGTTGGACAAGCCCATTTTCAGACATGGGAATGGGGGTGGCTGGCCCTGCCTCCAAGTCCTGGTGGTCACCTCCCCTGTACCCCCTATAAGGACCCTCTTAGCCCTTTCCCAGTTGAGGGCCCTGCACCCAGAGCGCCCTGCAGGTCAGTCTGAGCAGGAATAATGGCAGAGAACAAACTCACATGTCCCTAACTATGCTTTTCTCTCAATGACCCCCAAGCCCTGTATGGAAAGAGCAACTCGAGGGTATGCAGGGATCCACAGGCACGCTTGGCAGAGATGAGGGCTTCTAGAAAGCTGCCCTCCCTGTGAGGACCTGGGGCCACCATGGGCTGGAAGACAGGTCACTGGGCCTCCTGCATCCCCACCTGGCTAAGCCTACCTCTGGGAGCTGGCTCCAGGTGACCTGGGCGGGCCGGTAGCTCTTGACCACGATAGTGGTGTCTGATTTCCCGGTTCCCTCAGGGCTGGAGGGCTCATCAAGCACATCATCATCAGACTCGTGGCTGGTGTTCAGGCCCCGCTCCCGAATCTCCTGGTAGAACCAGGGGTCTGGAAAGAGAAGCAGAGTCACCTAAGTGCCTGGGAGCTTGGAGGAGGCCCAGCCCCACCCCCCAAACCCCCCCAGAATCTCTGAGTGCATCAGGCAGTGCAGGGACCCCAGGAAAGGCTCTTCTCTGACCCATTGGCTCCCCTGGCTGTGTAGGGCCAGCCCAGGAGATGGTTGGCAGCCCAGGGCTGAATGTGGCACCTCCAGGCCAGGGCTGAGGTGACAAATCAGAGCCCTGAAGGGGCCAGCTATGCTGGCCTGGGGGGATGGGGATTGGGAGGCATCCTCAGGTTCAGCTTGAGGGTGCTGGTGTTATCCTATGAGCCCACCTGGGATGGGGTGTCTCACCTCAGGGCACCTCTGTCAACCCTGCTCTGAGACTTGGGGCATTGAAGCTGCTCTCTTAGGGCAAGGTGAACACAGAGGAGGCCTGGATCCCTGTTCCTGACCCATGGGCATCCACGGAGCTTTCAGGGCTCACGGGGAGTGAGGGAAATTCCTGCCAGGGTCATTGTGTCTTAGAACGTCTTGACAAAGACCAAGCCTGGGACACCTGAGTACTGAATCCTTCCAGGGCCTCAAGGTCTCCGTCTAGCCAGTCAGGCACAGCCCTCAGCAGTCTGAACACCTGCCATCCCTTCCCTCCTGAGTTCTCAACACTGACCAAGCTCCCCTTGGACCTGAAAGATTCCATGCAGAGCATGTGGCATAGGCTTCTGTGCCTCTGGGAGCTGGCACCAGACCCACTGGGTGCTTAGGAGTATGTGGGACTCAGACCCCTGCCCTTGGTTACACAGAAGGGAGTCCAAGGGAGCTTTCTGGATCTATCAGAGTCGCAGTCACATCAGCCACTGGGACACCCTCACCTTCCCAGGTACCACCCGAGACCTACCACCAGCTTCACCCTGCCAAGGGCAAGCCCAGCTGTCGGCAGCCTCAGGAGCCACTTACCGTCCTTGAAGGAGCCCTTGTGTGCACGTTTTCGTCCCAGAGTCCTCTGCATAGACAAGACAGAAACAGCAGCGGTGAGCGGGTCGTGGGGAGGTACAGGCCTCCAGCGATCCTGAGGCTCTGGGGTCCCAGAGATCTTACAGTGAGATGTACAAGGCCTTGTCCAATTGGAGGGAGCCTTGCTGGGCACACAGAGGTACTCAATAGACAGCACTTCACATGGACCTCTGCACTGCCGAGCAGAGGCCAGGACAAGTGAGATGGGGTGGAATGGGACTCAGGCTGACAGGTTCAAGCAGATTGCCTGGAGGGAGATGAGCGTTGAGCCAGTCAAGAGGATGAAGGGGAGAGTGGGGTGTGGAACCCTGGGAGTTACGAGTAAGCTTGGAGAGAAGCCCAGGTAAGCAGAGAGCTGAGGAGGGGCAGTGGTGTAGGACCTGAGGTAGCAGCAAGAACCAGGGCTGGCTGGTTAGTGTCTGGCCCCTGGCATTGGCCAGCAGCCTCAGAAGCTGAAGGAGGGATGGCAGGGGCAATGGGGCAGGGGACAGAACTCTCAGCTAGCTTACTTGGACCCCACTCTTCTTGGCTGGGACACAGGACTTTTGCAGGTGCACTGGTTCCAGGAAGGCAGGGGCTGGTTTCTGGTTTTAGAACCAGTTGGGGCCTGAAAACTCCCCTTGCTGGTCGGGAAAGTGCAGCGCTCCCAGCAGTACCTGGCCATGTTCCCTCCACACCCTGGCCTCCCAGGTGCTCTCTCCTGCCTAGGCTCCTCCTCCTCACAATCCTGCCTTAGTCCTTCTGACCTCTACTTTAGCCTCCTGTCCCTGTGGCCATGGGAACTCCCTCCTCTGTGCTTCTGCTGCCCCAGCCTTCCCTTGCTGGCCCTTGGCACCCCCACAATGCCCCTCTTCACCCTGGAGCTCTCTGAAGATGGGATTGTGCTCACTGGGCTCAACTTGGTACCCCAGAATGGGCCATCACTGGGTGCTAAGGAACTGAGTGCTGGATGTGCGAATCACAAGTGAGTGAGTGAGTGAACGAATGAAGAGACCTCTGTGGGTCTGGCCCTTGTGGCCAGAGTGTTGGTGCCATTCTAGCACCTGGGGTGTAGGGACCCACAGCAGAGATCCCACCAGTTTCTGGGATCTGGGCATCTCAGGTAGGCATAGCAGGGGAGAGATGTGGCAGGGAACAGTAGCTAGTACTAGGGACACAGGGTCTGCCTTGGCCACCATCAGTCTCCACTGGAAGCTCGTGGTCTAAGCAGGTGACTGGTTGGTAGCCGTCTTTCTCACAGATGGTCTCAGCTTCTCCTAAAGCCAGGGCTGCAGCTCAGGGTCCAGCCAGGAGCCCGGGCACAGGAGGCAGTGGTGAGCTGATGCCCAAGTGAACAGGCCCTTTGCATGAACACCATGTCTGACTCTGGGCAACTGAGGCTGAGTATCAGTCTCTCTTGAGTGTGCCATGGAAGGACAGCTGTTATCTTCACTTACACGTGGGGAAACTGAGGCTCAGAAAGGTTTGGGAGCTTGGCAGGGCCACACAGATGCAAAGCCCTCTCTGGGCCTTTCATGGAGGCCAACTGTGCCCCTCTGCCTGGGGTACATCAACAGGTTGAGGAAGGCACCTATCAGAGGCGCCCATGCAGACCCCTCATATTTTATGTTTCAGGTGAGCTCAGGCTACCAAGCCTTGAAAAAAAAGAAAGTCCCTGCCTCACCCCATCCACCAGGTAAGAACAGAGCAAGGCAGAGGGACTCTGAAGATCCCTACAGCCCTGTCCTGGTGGGGGCATGACAGGCAGCCCTCCCTCAACATGGCCTTCCTGCTCAGTGGCTGTCAATAACAAAGGCCTGCCCTCTTCACAGGTGCCCCAAAGGGCTTTCTCTGTCCCCCTGGGCTGTAGTGCCACTCAAGTAAAGGTGCACTGCACACCCAGCTTCAAGGGCCACTGGGGTAGGCAGAGAAGTGGGAGGAGGGGCAGAGGGTCTGGTCAGGTGTCTTCCAGGGTACAGGCAGCAGGCACTGCCCACTGCCCCTCCCTAGTCGCTGTCAAGAGCCCCTTGGGCAGACCAACCCAGACCAATCAGTGCTGCAAAGGCATCAGACAGGCTGGTCCCTGCTTAGGCTGAGAGAGTGGCTCCCCTGTTTGTCCACTCTGGGGCTCTGCTGTGCACTCTGGGTGGGGATGGGTGAAAGTGGGGTGGGAGTCTGGGGGCTTGGCCAAATTCGTGATCTGAGCCTCAGCAGCCTCCTCTGTAAAATGGGAGGCTCACACTCACTGCCTGGCTGCTAGACTCAGCTGGAATAAACTGGTCAGGAGCACACAGTAAGGTTTACTAATGGTAGGTAGCCACAGCGATGCAGAAGGTGAGAGAGATGGAGAACCAGGCTGCCCACCTGCCTGCAAACTCCTGAGCCCCTAGCCACTGTTGGCATAAAGTTCCTACCTTGTTTTTGGCTGGGCACCGGGTGGGAGGCTGGCTGGGCTCCTCGGCCAGAGCCTGGAGTTTGGTGCTGAGCTGGACAGAGTCCGCCTTGCCTTGTGGCATCCCCAGGCCCTTCATGGCCGCCCGGTAGGACTGGTTCCGCAGGTTGCGTTTCAACATCCCTCCAGAGCCTATGTCCACATCCATGTCATCCAGGGAGAAGCTGGCAGCCGAAAGGAGCTGAGGGTCCCGCCGTGCCGCCTCCTTAGTGAGCACGGCTGCTCCAAAGCTCTGATGACGGGCTGGGGTTTTGGCCTTACTGGTCACGGCCAAGCTTCTGGGGATCATCTGCTGGGTGCCCACCTTGAGGGCCGCAGGGCTCTGTGTACTCAGGATGATGGGCCGTGGCTCCATGTCCCCTGAGGATGACTGTGGGGGCCCCGAGGCCTTGGGCTCAAAAGCAGCATTGGTCCTGCCCCTGAGGGAGTCCCGGACCATGGGGAGCCCAGATGCAGGGTTTCCATTGGCGTCAAGTCGCAGCTCCGAGTGGAAGCGGTATTCCAGTAGCCTCTCCTCCAAAGAGCTGTCCGAATGCCGCTGGGACATGTTGGGTGGCCACAGGGTCCTGGGGGGAGGGGACAGAGGTGAGGGGCTCAGGACATCTACCCAAGTGCCTGATGCTTCTTAGCATCTGTGCCCACACAGCCTGGAGTCCGGCACAGCTCTATGACTCAGTGTACAAAGGACAGTGAAGCAGCCAAGAGCCAGGCTGGCTGCTGGCACAGTCTGTCCCCAGGAACCTCCCCTGGGAGGTGGCACAGCCCACTTAGGGTAAGCAGGGAGCCCAGGGATGGCCTTGCACCTGCTCCTGCTCAGGTCTCATCTGATGATGGAGGCTGGACACCCACTAGGGTTGGGCAGCTAGCTGGTCTCTGAGCTGGATTTCAGGGCCACCCTGATTCCCATGTTGGCAGCACACACCAAGTCCCGAGCAGGAGTAGGCAGGAGCAATTCAGGCGCCCAGAGGCCCTGCAGACCAGGACTGGAATCCTGGTTCAGCCCCTACTGCTACACCTGGAGGCCACAGGGCCTCTTGGAACCACTTTGTCACAGGACAAACCTGGTGTCCCAGGGATCTTTCCTGAGGCTGCATCAGATGACATGGCAGTGATATGGCCTTGCTTGATGTTTCTGTTAGGAGGCCAGGCTGTCTAGAGGCCCAGGGACCAGTCAGGGACACATCACCAGTTGTAGCTGAACCAGGACCCAAGTCCAGGTCTGTCTGCTTCCCTCTTCTCTTGGCCATCTCCCCCACATGGTGCCACAACCATGGCTGGCTGTCCACAATACCTCTCCCCATGGCAGGCCATACACTTACATTTTTATGTGTTTCTGAACTCAGAATGGTACCTAAAGGCCCAGTCTCAGGAGCTCTGATGGGCACAGCCTAAGGCGACCCCAGGTGGCTGTGCAGATGTGAGGGAAGCAGGGGACTGAGATGTTTGCAGAGCTCTGACGGGAACCACAGACCCAGAACACACTGTCAGGCACAGGGCAGCAGCCTTACAGCCAGTCATCCCTGTTGCTCATGGTGCCAGCTGTGGGCCACTACTTCTCCTTGGACACGCCAGCCCGGCCCTACTGGCAGCTTGTGTCCCCAGAGCTCATCTCTACCCCTTGGACCTCTCCATTGTCACTGACTGCCCCATCCTCCAGCCCTAGCCTGGCAGCTTAGGTGGCAGCAGCAGGTAGCCCGTGCCTGACACTGCTGCTCTGAGTGTGTGCTGATCCCTGACCTGTCCCATTTCTGCCTTTGGCACGAGACAAAGCACAGTCCTAACACTGGTTTTGGCCAAAGAGTAGAAATGTTAGGGCAATTTCAGGACACCAGGGAAGCCGGTTCTGTCCCCACCCAGACCCAGAAACCACTAAGCTCTCCCAGCTTTCTGCTAAGAAGATCCCAGGAATGTGCAGACAGCTAAGGCTCAGAGACCTGGAAAGGGGTGGACTGGAGCCCTGGCTCCTCCTGAGGGAGGGTACATTCCTCAGGACATTCCAATACACAGGCTGAGGACAACAGCAGCCACCCCAGGCCTCCCCCGGGAGCTGGGGAGCTGGCATCTGTCTGTGACGCCTGGTGCTGGCCAGGCGGGGGCAGGGCTGTATCATCCCAGGGTCACACATCCATGTTAACTTGTTTGCAATTTACCCAGACCTGGAGAGAAATCAGCTCAGTTTAGACCTCTAAGGGCCAAGGACACAGAACTCCTGTGCTGTCCTTTTATTCTACACGTAATCTAGTCACCTTAGGGACATTCCACAAGGTTAGAGTGAGCAGGTGGCTCTGAAGGGCCCATGTCATTAGTGTGTCCCATCTCCCATCAAATAAATATCCATCAGCTTCCTCTGAGTCAGTGCTCAAGACTGGCAGGAGGCAGCCTCTCCCAGCAGAGGGCAAAGTCTGCTCCAGGGCCCAAAGGTGCCCGAACTAGAACCAGTCAGGTGAGCCTCACTGGGTGTGATCTCCTTTCTCTGTAAGACACCACACCCACAGGCCTGGGGCACCACCTGCCCAGGAGCCAGGAGAGCTCGGCCCCTTGGGGTATGGGCACCTGCTCTGCCTGCAGGAGCTGGCTGGGCTCTCAGGAGTTGTGGATGCCTCACACACACTGGTCTTTTTAGCTTTGAAGCTTTTCGCTATATAAAGAACTACACACACGATTCGAAAGTCAAATAGCACGGGAAGACATATTTGTGTGTCAGGCTGCCCATGCTGCCTTGTCCCCAGAGGCCACCACTGTGGGCACTGCAGCTCTTCCTGACTCCTACCCTGTCCTGGACATGGACTTGGCTGCATAGCCACACAGTGCTGTGGGGCATGAGCCCTGACCTTCCCCTGTCTAGTTTGACAGCCAGACTCTCCCGTTAAACCCCAGAGTTCCAGGGCCTCTGACGTGTTTGAGTGGATGTCTTGTATGTGCAGAAACCACTTCCGGCTTTCCCCAGAGATGCTCTCACCCAGGCCTGGCTCAGGTGATCTTTCCACGCTGGACACTGGACCTTGGGCCCTGGGCCTCCTCCCTCAGCACATCTGGGCACTGTCCTGGCAAGCAACTTGGTAGGTAGACTTTTGAGTTCCTGAAAACGTATTTTTCTCCCTCTCCCTGGCTGGTAAGTAGGATGAGCTTAGAGTTCCCGCTGCAGATTACTTTCTTCCAGAATCAGGACACACCCTTCTCTTTTCGGTGGTTCTGTGAGGCATCCTGAGGCCCTACCTACTTCTCTTCCTTGGATCAAGACTTCGTGCTTCTCCCCATGCCTGCCCCAGCCCTGGGGAGGTTTTGGGCCTTTATGTCCATTTGCTGAGCAAGGTGCCACGTAGAACTTCAGTCTTCTTGCTGGTGACTATTAGGGCTGCATGTGCTCGATATTATTTCTTGGATAATATCTTCCTGGAACACTCATGAATGAGGATCAAAACCTCTGAGATTTTTCTCCTAATTTCTTCCCTTTTCCCTTACTTTTTTCATCTTTGTTCTCCTTTCAGGAGATGGCTTCTATTTAATCTTCCTGTTTTCCCATGGACCTTTTCTTGTGACTTTCATGCCCTACCAACAGCTCTCTTGTGTTCTCTAGCTATTCTTTCTTTATTCATGGCACCCTGTTCTTGTTTTACGGATGTGACATCTTCTATGACAAGGATCATCTTTTCTTTTGGACAAGTTTCCTTCTGTTAGTGGGTCTCAGGAGCTCAGCTCCCATATACTTTCCTCCTTTGTCTCAGCTCCTGTTGGCTGTTGTCTCTGCTGGAGACAGTTAGGTATTTGCTTCTGCTTCAGCTTCTGTTTAGGGGGAAGGCACCATGGTGGGAGGCCCATCTGCCCAGTGCACACACCTGGGAGCATAGGCCACTGTCCTGCAGGGTGCTCTGACCCCAGCCCCAGTATGCCTGTATCTGCAGCCCTTCCTCCAGGCTGGCTGGTTTCTGCAGACCACACTCTGTTCTCACTGGGATGCAGGCAGGACCTGGCGAGAGCTCATACTCCTTTCAACTGCCTTCCAGGCAGACACCAACCACACTATCCATGCAACAGTATCTCCAAGAGAGAGGCCAGACATGCTGCAGAGGCCACACAGGTGGATCTGCTCCCCAGCGTCCAGAAGTGCTGAATAGGGAGCCTGCAGAAAACCCCTCCAAACATGCATGGAGTAGCAGAGCTTTGTGTTGTCGGTCCACCCGTCCTCTGTCTCCCTACAAGTCTGTGAGCTTTTGCGGGGGCAGGGACAATTCTCAGTTCATGTCCCCACAAATAGCGGGGCTCAATTCCTGACTTAGGTCAACACCTGATGTTGGCACTTGCTCTGTGCCTCCTGGGAGAGGGCCCAGAGCTCTCCACGAGAACCAGTGTGCAAGAGGCAGGGCGCTCCACCACCCTCACCTGCTTCCACTCAGGATGTATCAGAAAGGCCCCAGGGGGAGGCCTCAGAACCCACAGCATTCACTTTCTCTTTGCCACTAAGTGTCCCACGGTGGGGAAGGTCCCAGACACGTGAGTGGGAAAGCCGTGATGCAGCTGGGCATCTCAGGTGACCCTAATGAGCCTGTCCAGTCCTAAGCTAACTTGGCCTTGCCTGACTTGCTCTGTTCAGATCTGGCCTGGGCTGGGTGGGCCGCCCTGCACCCAGTCCTCCAGCTCCTTAGGACATCCTTCCTGACAGACTTCCCAGGACTCTAGTGGGCACCCACCCACAATATCCTTTTTGTTCCTCCCAGAAGCCTGATGTCCAGGGCCTGGGGCTGCTGCTCTGTTCACAGGAACCTAAATTACCCTATGTTTGGTACCTCTCTGCTGGGCTTCCATCTCCAGCTCTGGGGTGGGTCCGCCCTTGGGGCATCTCTGTCCCACCTACTCTGGCTTCTAGGTCCAGCTGTACCTACCCTATGTGGTGGGGCTCAGCCTCTTCAGCACAACCCAGCCAACCCACAATGGTGCCCTTGTATCCGGGCAATTCCGCCTAGCCAAGCTTGGAGTCACACATAATTTGGGGCAGGATCTGGTTTCAACAATCACAGTACACAGTGATTTTACTTAGCTCAGTGGCTCTCGACTTGGAGCAGTTTTGCCATACAGAGGACACTTGACAATGTCTGTGACACTGCTGGTGGTCACACGTACTGGCATGTTGAGGGTTGAGTGCACAAGACACAGCAAAAATTTAACTGGAACAAACGCCCCCAGTGCTGAGGTGGAGATAACCATCACAGCTAGCTCGAGAGCCACTTTTCCCAGAGGGGGTGGGGAAACCCACTGGGTATGCCCAGTTCAGATAAAGTCTGGCTCAGCTAGAAGCACCCACCACCTGGCTCCTGTCTCTAAATCTAGACATCCCATAAACCCAGGCCCCCATTCCAGGCTGGGCTGGCACCAGTAGAGAGAGATCCCCCAAGGGGGCACGGATAAAGAGCAGAGCTCTGGCAGTGACCAGATGACAGGCTCCCACTGCTATGTCTACCAGCTGCACACCAGGCATAGCTGGTGCCCTCCAACGCCACCTCACCCACTGTGTCTTTGATCCCTCCCCAAATTTCTGGAAGGTGGGTATCT